CAGAGCTCAGGCTCCAACCCAGTCCCAAACAACTGCAATTTTTAACCCTGTTAGCTTGAGTCCAAACCAGTCCATCCAGGCTCTGAGACTTGCTGTCATGGTTTGTTTTTATTTATTTTATTTTATTTTCCAGTGTAGATGTACCCTCAGAGGTTGAGAGTGCTGGTGCTTTTATGTGGATTGTGCAGCGATTGTAGGATGGAAGCAGAGTGGAAGGTAATCACTTGATGGGTGAATCAAGGCTTCATATGCATCCCAGAACTGGTGTCTGAGTAAGTGACTCTGGACTTGTCCACACTTAAAGTGCTACAGTGGCACTGCTGTGTTGCTGCAGCTGCGCCTCTGTAGCACTTCGGTTTGGACACTACCTATGTGCCAATGGGAGGGATTCTCCCATTGGCATAGTAAGTAGTCCGCCTCCCCAAGAGATGGTAGCTAGATCGATGGAAGAATTCTTCCATCAGTCTAGTGCTCCCCACACGGGTTGGCTTAATTACATTGTTTAGGGGGGTGGATTTTTCACACCCCTGAACATAGGAATTATGCCAACTTAATTTTCTAGTGTTGACCAGGCCTCTGATTATGCTCAGAGGTTATTCTGGAATCAGAGAACTAGCCTTGGATTCTCATGCCATGTCTACACTACAAGCACAACATCAGCACAGCTGCAACTATGCTGCTGTAGCACTGTAGCATTAGACACCTGCTACAGCTGCAGAAGGGGTTTTTCCATTTCTGTAATAAATCCACCCCCTCAAGAGGTGGTAGCTAGGTTGACAGAAGCATTCTTCCATTGACCTAGTGGTGTCTATACTGGGACTTTGGTCGGCTTAACTACACATTTTTCACACCTCTGAGTGATGTAGCTAGGTCAACATAAGTTTTAGATGTAGAATAGGACCAACTGTGCTTGGCAGATGGGGATGTGGGTCTCATCATTCATTCACTGAAACACCCACTATCAGCTTTTGTATATCCCAGCACTGGTATGTGGATGTGGTTGTAGGTGTGAAGAGACTATGAATTCCTGTCACTGTTTTAATCATCTTGTGAAATCACTTCAGTGGTGTCCATTGCTTTTGCAGAAGAATAAGCCATAATTGCATGTTTCATTAGGTTCTCCTTTCCATAAGCCCTGGAATGACTCTGTCACTTGGTCCCTTTCTATGTCCATGTATGAAATATACAGTGAGGGTGCTGAAGGATCTTCTCAAGCAACCTGGACCAGATGCCACTAATGTAGAGCTGGTATACCCTGCTCAAGATAGAGCCTACATCAAGGTATCCATCCTGTGATGGGTTCAGTCACAGAAACCTGTTTGGGACTGCCACCTGATGCGCCTTGACTACCTCTGAGCCTGTTTTCTCTGCTAGCTTGGGACTTCAGTACCTTGCCTTGTTTGAACCAGATATGCTTGCCTGCTGCAAACACAGATCCAAGTCTGAACCACATCCCACACAAGCTGCAGGCTTAACTGAAAACAGCTGAAGAAGTACTCCTGTCTCCAGCACTCAGATACCCAGCTTCCAATGGGGTCCAAATCCCAAATAAATCCATTTTACCCTGTATAAAGCTTATACAGGGTAAACTCATAAATTGTTCGCCCTCTATAACATTGATAGAGAGATATGCACAGCTGTTTGCTCCCCCTCCCCCTGGTATTAATACATACTCTGGGTTAATTAACAAGTTAAAAAGTAATTTTATTAAATACAAAAAGTAGGATTTAAGTGGTACCAAGTTATAATAGACAGAACAAAGTGAATTACCAAACACAATAAAATAAAACACTCAAGTCTAAGCCTAATACAGAAGGAAACTAAATGCAGGCAAATCTCACCCTCAGAGATGTTCCAATAAGCTTCTTTGACAGACTGGCCGTCTTCTAGTCTGGGCCCAATCCTTTCCCCTGGTACAGTACTTGTTCCAGCTCAGGTGGTAGCTAGGGGATTTCTCATGACTGCAGCGCCCTTTGTTCTGTTCCACCCCCTTATATAGCTTTGGCACAAGGCAGGAATCTTTTGTCTCTTTAGGTCCGCACCCCTCCTTCTAAATGGAAAAGCCCCAGGTTTAAGATGGATTTCAGTACCAGGTGACATGGTCACATATCCTGTGAGACCCCAAGCCTTCATTCTTCCCAGCCTGACTCCCAGGAAGGCTTGCAAATAAACAGAGCCATCTACAGTCAATTGTCCTAATTGATGGGAGCCATCAAGATTCCAAACCACCATTAATGGCCCACACTTTGCATAATTACAATAGGAACTCAGTTATATTTCATATTTCTAGTTTCAGATACAAGAATGATACATTTATACAAATAGTATGACCACACTCAGTAGATTATAAGCTTTGTGATGATACCTTACAAGAGACCTTTTGCATGAAGCATATTCCAGTTACATTATATTCACACTCATTAGGATATGTTCATAAAATCATCTGGAGTGCAACATCACACATCCCTCCCCTATTCCTCTGTTTTCTTCACTCCCTGTCTTTTTGAGTCTAGGTTTGGACAGACATTGAGAAGTTGCTCAGAGTTGTGGCTCTCTCAGAGCATTGCATTTTATCCACACATAAGAGACAGGTTCTTATCTAAACTCATGTGACCAATAGGAATAATAGAGATAATGAAAAGGATAACAAACCACGGGGATTAAGAACTTTCATTTCTTTAACTCTGGACAATCACTCATCAAGTTCTCCCAGCTTTAACCATCATGGCCTGCACACCACCATTATGGTCTCACATCTCAACTGCCATTCTGACTAAAGTATTATCTATGCTTGGGAATAATCCCAGCTCAGCCACTGGTAGCCAGTAATCGTGTGGCTGTACCATGTAGACAAGAGCAAACTAGAGTTGGCACTGATTGAACTAATTACAGTTTATCTCACTGATATCCAGGGGTACACACTGACTAGTTCAGTTGGTGGAAACTCCTTTAGGTCTTGGTCTACATTTAGGAGGCAGCACTGATGTATCTTCATTGATGGCTGAGCTGGAGCTATTTCTGAGTGTGAATGAGGGCTGAGAAGGACTAGACAGGACTCCCTTTGAAGATCACCACCAGTCAAATGGCTGTTGGGCAGTGGAGGGCCCTCACTTCTCCTGGGACATTATTTAATTTGGGCAAGCAAATGGCTTTTGGAAGAGCTAACTTCAAAATGTGTCTTGCTTCAGAATTTGGCCATCTTTCCACCCCTTGGCTCAGCTGGACAAAGTTAGCTAGGAGGGATCCTCCCAAACCTATCAGCTGCAGCTTGGATAAGGTTCAAGGACCAAGGTTTTTAAGGCCTGGTTTGACAAAGCCCTGGCTGGGATGATTTAATTGGGGTTGGTCCTGCTTTGAGCAGGGAGTTGGACTAGATGACCTCCTGAGGTCTCTTCCAACCGTAATCTTCTATGATTCTATGACATCCTGTTGACAAGAGGATGGGACAGAGGTTGCAAGTATTGTAGAGATCAAGAAAGAAATGCAAGAAAAGTAGATTGTCCAACAGTATCTATTACCTATCCTGGAGCATGGAGCTTAAATAAGAGCATGGGGGTGTTTGGGTATGGGTTTTGGTTTAGGTCATCTCTAAATCGAATGATACTTCAAAGGCTTAAAGTATTATATTTTTACTGGAAACATATTCTAATATACTTCTCCATGTGGTAAGGATGCAGTGGGGCAACTAACTAAAAAAGGTTAAGGGGTGACTTGATCACAGTCTGTAAATACTTACATGAGGAACAAATATTTGATAATGGGCTCTTTAATCTAGCAGGCAAAAAGGTATGACATGATCCAATGGCTGGAAGCTGAAGCTAGACAAATCAGACAGGAAATAAAGTATACATTTTTATCAGTGAGGGTAATTAACCATTGGAACAATTTACCAACAGTCATGGATTCTCGATCACTGATAATTTTAAAATCAAGATTGGAGGTTTTTTCTAAAATATTTGCTTTAGGAGTTATTTTGGGAAAGTTCTATGGCTTGTGTTATACAGCAGATCAGCCTAGATGATCACAATAGTCCCTTCTGGCCCTGGAATCTGTGAATCAATGGACTCAAGGTTTTCTGGGATGGGGAATAAAGAATTCAACTTCCTCTCCTAAATGTAAAGTCACCTTCCTCCCTGCCCAATAGTGGGAGAGAAATTTAATATCCCAGAAAGAAGGGATACTGTCCTAGTCATATCGGCTTGTCCTAGAGTGAGGACAGTCATGGGGGATGCCTTGTGGCATTAGAACCATATGATACTGGGATTCCTGCCACATAATTTGGGTCAGATGTAAATCAGAGGACATGGGGGCCATGATTCTAGCCCATGTAGTTATCAGCACTCAAATACCAGCTGTGTCAGCCAGTCATGCTCTCTTGGTTGTCAGGGTCTGTCCCATATGATGATCTCCTCAGCAGCAGAAGCCACCACAGCATTCTGCCAGGGCTGGGCACGCAGAACTGGGGCTGAGAGTGACTATGGGCCGACTTCGAACCATTCCAGCATTATCACTCACTTTAACCTGCAGGTGGTGAGAGTGGACCTAGGGTTTCAGTGTTTGGGTTTTCACATCTGTCTCTTAATGCATTTTCTCATGTTTATTTCTTTGTCCCCTATAAATTATGTTCAAATGTAGCCAACTTACCATTGCTAAGTGTTAACTGAGGAAGTGCTAAGACTTGACCTAGGAATTGTACTTGTTCAGACCAGTGGTTCATCTAATCCAGTATCCTGTGCCTCACAGTGGCCAGTACCAGATGCTTCAGAGGAAGGTGCAGGAAACATATCTGAAAGCTTTGCTCTTTTCCATTCTTTCGGACTCTCAAGCCTCCCTTTAGATTGTGAGCCAATCCTTTGTCTACCTAGCTTCTGGTAGCAGAGTCTGCAGAGTCAAACAAGGCCCCTGCTCTGCATGACTCTGGAGACTCTCAGATCCTGGCGCCTCTAACTAACTGCCTCAGTTCTTTGAGTTCTAACTGATTTTTCCTGTCTCTCTCACAGCATCTCCATAAATAGCCTAATCCAGTCTGGTGCTAGCTGAAAATTGTGGATCTTCCTGGAGCAGAGAAACTCCCACCCCACAGGTTCTCAGTGAGGTTAAGAGAGAAGCCTCTGCTGAAGAAGTCCCTGGTGGCTTTCTACTGGGTTGTCAATCAGCTGGCAGGTTCCCCATATCCAAATTGAATGATCAACTACAGGTGAATGTTGTCTTAGTGGCCATTTTTCTGCATTCAGGGCCAGTGTACGATCTCTGTCACACTTGTGTAAACCCCAAGTAACTCCATCCTAGTCAATGGATTTACACTGTTGTGACTGAGCTCAGAATCTGGCTCACAGTGTATAAGCTGCACCATGCAGGCCTTTCCTATTATATGGTCTGCATTCATGGAATGCCGTGTATTCATTAAAAGGGCTGCACAAGCAGGATGAGAGATGGTATACAAGCAGTTTAAGTAAAAATTCTTTACCGCTTGATGGCCTAGTGAGTAAAATATTGTGCTGTTTTGTAAAAGGCCTGAATTGGGGAGGAATATATTGTCTGTTTCTTGAGCAGGCTGAAACTAGGGGTGTTGTGAAGATGGTGCTTAAGAGAGGGTGGAGGTGCGACGGGCGACCTCACTCAGGCCAGCTCAGGTGTATGCTGCTGGAGCATAGTCAGGAAGACTTGGGACAACACATGCAGGAAGCATCTGATTGAAATGGGGTAAAAGAGATTAAATAGCCCAAAGCGTAACACATTTGTCCCATTCAGCCAAACTAGCTGTTTCCATAGGCTGGGGTTCTCAAAGGAACCACAGGGAGTTAAGTGCTAGAGCTGGGTGGGAAATGGTTTTCCCATCTCTAGAGGGGGACCTAGAGGAGTGGGATAATAAGGAAGCCCTCCTTTTGCAATACGTAAATGATCTGTTAATTGCCACTGTGGGCTTAACCCCTTGCCTTAAAGCCACTGTGCGTCTCCTGAATTTTGTGGGACTCCAAGGATATCAGGTAGCACAAAGTAGGCTCAGATTGTTCTCCCGCAGGTACAGTACCTCGGGTTCTACATACGGCAGGGGGAACGCCAGCTTTCAAATAAAAGGAAGAAAGCCATATGCCAAGTTCCTATCCCGAGTAATCGCAAGCGGCTCAGAGCATTTCTGGAAATGGCAGGCTTCTGTAGGATATGAATCCCAGAGTTTGGACTATGGGCTAGACCCCTGTACAACTGTGTAAAAGGAGCAGACCATGACCCCTTTCATTGAACCCCAGAGGCTGATAGGGCATTTAAAATCCTAAAAAAAAAAAGCTAATGAAAGCCCTGGCTCTAGGTCTGCCAGATCTCTCCAAACCATTTCAGTTGTATGTACATGAATGAAAGGGGGTGGCTCTGGGAGTACTCACACAGCTGCTAGGGGCATGGAAACATCCGGTGGCATATTTTTCTAAACAACTGGACCAAGTAGCCAAGGGCTGGCCAGTGTGCCTGCAGGCAGTGGCAGCCACCGCCCTGACCCTGGCAAAAGCAGAGAAACTGACACTAGGGGGAACAATACAGGTTTTTACACCACACATGGTACGTGCTTTACTGGATGGTAAGGGCGGCCTCTGGCTCACACAAGCGCGTATAGCAAGGTACCAAGCAAAGCTCTTAAAGAACCCTGAGATCATGCTGCAGCCTTGTCCATCCCTTAACCCTGCCACCCTCTTACCAGAAACTGAAAAACAGAAACATAACTGTTTAAAAATCATAAATACCCAATATTCTAGCCGCCCGGACTTGAAGGATGTGCCCCTCCCAAATGCAGATTATGAGTGGTACACTGATTGTAGCAGCATAGTAATAAATGGGCAAAAAAAGGCGGGTTATGCTATTGTGACCCTCAATAACACCGTAAAAGCTGAAAGTTTGCCTGCTGGGACCTCTGCCCAGTTGGCTGAGCTAGTGGCCCTGACCCGTGCACTCAAACTGTCCAAAAAAAAAAAACGAGTCAATATTTTTACTAATTCCAAATATGCTTTTAGTGTGCTGCATGCTCATGCTGGCTTGTGAAAGCAGAGGGGAATGCTGACAGCCCAAGGCTCCCCAGTCAACTACGGGCCCCAAATTCTCCGGCTTCTAGAGGCAGTGCAAGTCCCTTTGGAAGTGGCAGTGGTACACTGTAAGGCCTATCAGAGGGAGGATCAAGATGTGGCTGGGGTAATGCCAGGGCAAATAGAGAGGCAAAGCATGCTGCCACCCTGATGTCCCCTCAGACTGAGAACACCTATATGTATGCCCTTATCCCATCAGTGGGGGAGCTCCCGACCCCTCAGTATTCTGGAAAAAAGAAACAGCTAGCTGACAAACTTGGTCTCCAGGAAAAGGAGGGGTGGCTTCATTCCCCGGAAGGGAAAGTCCTCTTACCAAAGGGCCTAATTCTGCCAATATTACAAAAATTATATCAAACCACTCATGCTGGGAGGGAGGCACTTATCCAACTAATGGGAAAGTACTTCATAACCTCCAAACTCAAACCCCTGGCTGCCCAGGTACAGGCAAAATGCCTAGTCTGTCAAAAAAATAACCCCCGACCAGGACACCCAGTACCACCAACAGCCCTGGAACCCACTCCAGGCCCCGGATGGGTGTGGTAAATAAACTTTACTGAGTTTCCCCGGACCCAAGGGTTTACGTGTCTCCTTGTTATAGTGGATAGATTCAGCGGATGTCCGGAAGCCTTTCCATATCGCAATTGCACTGCCAGGACAGTGGCTCTCAAGTTTGTTAAGGAAATTATTCCTCGCTTTGGACTTCCCCAGTAAATGGAATCTGACAGTGGAACACACTTCACGTCAAAAATCGTCCGAAGCATCTCAAACGCTTACAGATTCCTTGAAAACTCCATACACCCTAGAGACTGCAAGCCAGTGGGGTAGTGGAGTGGACCAATCAGACCCTTAAGCGACATCTCTCGAAAGTATGCCAGGAGGCCTCCCTACGGTGGCCTGATGCCCTGCCCCTAGTTCTGCTCTGCATCCGTGCTCTCCCAAAGGGTAAATTAGGGCTCAGTCCCTTTAAAATTATGTTTGGAAGGGCATGGCCTATGAATGGTACACCAGTTGTGTCAGGGGGAAAGTGGAAATTGGGAAATGGGTTTCTGTCTCAGTATATGTGTTCCCTGTCTGCTGTTCTTTTGTCTCTTCACAGCTATACTAAGGATTCCCAGCCTCTACCCTTGGACTCGCCCATCCACTCCCTGCAGCCTGATGATTCAGTGCTCGTACGTACCTGGAAAGACGAGCCGCTCCAGGAAAAGTGGAAGGGACCCTATACCGTTCTGCTGGTCTCCCACACGGCAGCAAAGGTTGAGGGACACAAGAATTGAATTCATTATACCCGGCTGAAAGCGGTGTCAACCCCCCCCCCCGGCTGAAAGGTGGACCGTGCATTCAGCCCCCTCCACTGAGAATCTTGGACTAAAATTACTGTTTAAACAGCAATCCGCCAAAAAGGCAAAAAAAAAAAAAATGAAGGGGTATATTTTATTCCCCCTCTTGGCCATGTGCCTAACCGGTACTGCTGTTTCAGGCATTATACCCGTAAATACCTGGCTGGCACTGGCCCAGAGTGCAGTGAACGCAACGTCGTTCTCAAAGAACCTTATTCTCAGAGAGTAAGGCAGCAGCTCTAGCCTTTTCTTTAGTTGGTATCTCTGGGCTTGTGGTGCATAATTATCACGCAGTAGAGCACCTTGCCAGCACAGTGGCAAAGGCCATTAACTTAACCTCAAATGTCCTGGCCCAACTCTCACATGAGTTAGGGGAAGTACGTCAGGGTATGCTACAAAACAGGCTGGCTGTGGACTATTTGCTTCTACGCCATGGTCACCTATGCCAGGAGTTTGCAGGCATGTGTTGCTTTAATATAACAGATGCAGGGCCATCCGTAAAAGCTGATTTACAACGCCTAAAGCAGCTGGTAAAGGACATTCATCAGCAAACTGGGAAAAATTGGCTAGACTCTCTATTTTCTGGTTGGGGCCTTTCCCCGTGGCTAACTGAGTTGTTTAGCCTATTATTTAAGTTTTTTTCCCCTGTATTAATCATGTTATGTTTACTGTATTATATGTGGTCCCGTGTAAAAAAGCTTATTTTGCATAGTTTTAAAAATTTTAATTTTATGCATAGCCCGCTAATAAATAAATAAAAATAAAAAAACTCAAGCAATAAAAATAAGTATTCTCAAAAAAGGGAATTGTTGAAGACCCCAGGGCATGGCCACTAGTTAAGTTGAGGGGATAGAAGGCCATAAGAGTCGAGGAAGTCTCCCTGCTGAAGGCCTAAGGGCTTCTTCACAACCCCCCTTAATAGAATTCAGGCCTGGCTGGTTTAAGTAAGCTCTTTTGCTCTTAAAACAATGTTGCAGCCGCAAATAATGCCTTATAGTGTAAGGTTTGCTGTCGCCAAGATAAAAATAATAGGAAAGAAACAACTACAAGGCCAGACAAAATGTGCTGGTTGTTTAAGTTGCTAAAAATGCTTATTAAAGGTTGCAAAAAAATAAACATTGTTGTAACCCATATAGGGAAAGCAAAGTATTTGTGCAAAGTTTTAATTGGCTAATGTGTAGTGCAGTAGCATTAAAAATATAAAAATATATGTAATAACCTGCTCTGGTGTGCAGAATTTAAAATTCTATTCTCCCTGTACCTTGTTTGCAGCTGCAAATAAACTTTTCTGCTTCTCCACCCCATTATAATTATTAAATAAAGCATACTGGGTAACAAACCCCTGCTGTTGTTTTGCCTCTCGGCACTGGGTGCCGGCAACAACACTATGCGGTTCCACTGCTCTGTGCTTGTTTCCCGAGCCCAGAATTGGTGTTCCCCTGTATCAACCAGCCCCACTGCTGCCATGATGTCCCAGTTGCCACAGCCCATGCTTTCAGAAATGTCTGGGTCCATGTCCTCACAAATGTCCTCGTGCTGGCGTCTCTTAGCCAGGTTCTGCACATACTGCAGGATACTGTGTGAGGTGTTTACAAAGCTCACAACAGCAGTGGTGAGCTGAGCAGGCTCCATCCGTGCTATGGCGTCTGCATGGGTAACCCAGGAAAAAAGACGTGAAACGATTGCTTTCACAGAGGGAGGGAGGGGAGACCGACGATATGTACCCAAAACCACCTGTGACAATGTTTTTGCCCAATCAGGCATTGGAAGCTTAACCCAGAATTCCAATGGGCAGCGGAGACTGCGGGAACTGTGGGATAGCTACCCACAGTGCACTGCTCTGTGAGTCAATGCTAGCCACGGTATTGAGGACACGCTCTGCTGAATTAATGTGCTTAGTGGGGACATACACAATCGACTGTATAAAATCGATTTCTAAAGATTGACTTCTATAAAATCGACCTAATTTCATAGTGTAGACATACCCTTAGTTATTTAAAAGAATATGATCAGATATGGGAAGAATATGGGAAAGATACAATAAATATACATGTGAGATGTTTACTGAGACCCTTATACAGCAAAGAGGGGGACCTGCTGAGCTTTCCTTTGAAACCTCTGGTACATGCCATGGGAGCAATCAGGATACCAGACTGGATGTGTTATTCGTCACTTCTTCTTTGGCAGTTCCTAGGAGCAGGTGTAGTCATTTGCTCCACCCCATAAACAAAATGAAAACCACACCCTCTAGCAACCTGAGTTGATAGCAACCCTGTCTATGCCATCCATAGAGAAAAGAACTATTGGCAGATAAAGATTTTTGTCACCAAGATCCCATCTCTAATTCTTTCTTTGCTCCTCAGTCATTGCTTACTCAGTACTGGGCAAAGATCCTGGCCCTTCAGCACCGACTGTATGAACAGATGGATCTTAGGAGTGCCATGGAGAGTGAGAGCATAGGCACCCTCCGAGAACAGGTCCAGTGCCTCACCAATGAAAACGTAAGTGTGAAATGCAAATTTGTCTTCAGTGCCTTTCCTGCATACTGAGTCAGGTATTTTGAAAACTTGATCCTAATCGCAGGATGAAAATGGCAACTGACAACTCCCTTTCCAATCTGTTAAAGCCACTGTATGTAGAAAGCTGTGTTTTCTCATCATGTAAGCTGTTTGTTCTTCCCTTCCCCGAACCTGCCTATCTGTGCAGTGCTGTGCACGGGAGAGAAGATCTTGTTTCTGCTCAGTATAGGGAGTCACTGACGTTGTTTTGTGTACCCAGGTGCAGCTGCAGGATAGGAACGAAAGACTGTACACAAAGCTTGGAGAACTGCAGGAGAAGATGGGGAATCTGGCTGGTTCCAAAACGGATTTGTCATCCAGATTGGTCTTCAGCGAGGAGGAGAAACTTAAGGTAATGCATGCATCTTGGGAGCTGGAGATACTTGAGCTGTTGAACCCCACTGAGCCCAGAAATATATGGGTATGTAGAATCCTTGGGAAATGTAAAGATATTCTCCCTGAAGGTCTATAAAAACATGTGCACTCCCCAACAGCCAGGGCTACTCTACTTATTCCTTATAGGTAGCCGTGTTAGTCTGTATCAGCAAAAAAATCGAGGAGTCCTTGTGGCACCTTAGAGACTAACAAATTTATTTGGGCATAAGCTTTTGGGGGCTAGAACCATCTGATGAAGTGGGTTCTCGCCCACGAAAGCTTATGCCCAAATAAATGTGTTAGTCTCTAAGGTGCCACAAGGACTCCTCGTTTTTATTCATTATAGTTACTTCTGCTGGGGAAGGCTAGGACTGGTGCACGTCAGCTTCCAGATAGCCACTATTCCACATCACTTCCTTCTGGAAAAGGCTGAGACGTCTCAGAATGTGTATCACTTAATCTCAAAGTTTTTACTTGTCCTTTATACTCTTCCTCTTTGGGGTTATGAGGGAATCCAGTCTTCGGCATCTCCACAGTTCTCAGCTATGTGTCTCCGCATCAGCATATTTTAATATTAAGGTGCAAACCTCTTCTCAGCCTTACCTATGGAGCTGTGGTCAGTGCCGCCATAATAAGCTGGTGCTCAGATCACAAGAGGCATGTCTGCTTGCAGATCTCTTTTGTGCTTATATTTTTGGTCTAGGCCTGTTGGCATAATCAGTAACACTGAAGTGTTGGCCTCAATGGCAGTCCCTGAACTTTAACTGAGGCCTTGTCTACACTACGAAATCAGGTCGAATTTATAGAAGTCGGTTTTGTAGAAAGCATTTTCATACAGTCGATTGTGTGTGTCCCCACAAATGCTCTAAGTACATGTAGTCGGCGGAGTGTGTCCACAGTACCGAGGCAACCGTCGACTTCCAGAGCGTTGCACTGTGGGTAGCTATTCCACAGTTCCCGCAGTCTCTGCCACCCATTTGAATTCTGGGTAGAAATCCCAATGCCTGAGGGGGCTAAAACATTGTCGCGGGTGGTTCTGGGTACATACCATCAGGCCCCCCCTTCCCTCCCTCCCTCTGTGAAAGCAAGGGCAGACAATCGTTTTGCGCCTTTTTGTTGAGTTACCTGTGCAGACGCCATACCACGGCAAGCATGGAGCCTGCTCAGCTAACCGTCACTGTATGTCTCCTGGGCGCTGGCAGACGCAGTACTGCATTGCTACACAGCAGCAGTTTATTGACTTTTTGCAGCAGACAGTGCAGTATGACCGGTAGCCATCGTTGACGTAGTCCTGGGTGCTCTTTTAACCGACCTCGATGAGGTCAAGGGCGCCTAGGCAAACATGGGAGTGACTCAGCCAGGTCATTTCCCTTTTAAGTTTCGTCTCATGGCGATTCAGTCCTACCGGCAGTGCACTGTCTTTTAATCAGCAGCCAGCAGAAGATGATGGCCAGCAGTCATACTGCACCGTCTTCTGCCGAGCACCCAGGAGATGATGATGGCTAGCGGTCGTGCTGCACAGTCTGCTGCCAGCAAAATGTATAAAGATAGATGAAGTGGATCAAAACAAGAAATAGACCAGATTTGTTTTGTATTCATTTTCTCCTCCCTCCCTCCGTGAAATCAACGGCCTGCTAAACCCAGTTTTGAATTCTATCTTTGAGGTTTTCAGCTCTATCTTTGAGGGGACCATTCTGTTTCTCACAAAGCCACCCCCTTTGTTGATTTTAATTCCCTGTAAGCCAACCCTGTAAGCCATGTTGTCAGTCACCCTCGTTCTGCCAGACCAACGGCAAACAATCGTTTCGCGCCCTTTTCCTTGGATTGCCCAAGCAGACGCCACAGCACAGCAAGCATGGAGCCCGTTCAGCTCACTACAGCAGTTATGACCATTGTAAACACCTCGCGCATTATCGTGCAGTGTATGCAGAACCAGCACCTGAAAAACCAGGTGAGGAGGCGACAGCAGTGCGGTGATGAGGACATGAACACACTTTTCTCTAAAACCACGTTCCCCTGCAATTTGGAGATCATGGTGTTAATGGGGCAGGCTCATGCCGTGGAACGCTGATTCTGGGCCTGGGAAACAAGCACAGACTGGTGAGACCGCATAGTGTTGCAGGTCTGGGATGATTCCCAGTGTCTCCGAAACTTTTGCATGCGTAAGGGCACTTTCATGGAACTTTGTGACTTGCTTTCCCCTGCCCTGAAGCGCCAGAATACCAAGATGAGAGGAGCCCTCACAGTTGAGAAGCGAGTGGCAATAGCCCTGTGGAAGCTTGCAATGCCATACAGCTACCGGTCAGTCGGGAATCAATTTGGAGTGGGCAAATCTACTGTGAGGGTTGCTGTGATGCAAGTAGCCAATGCAATCATTGAGCTGCTGCTATCAAAGGTAGTGACTCTGGGAAATGTGCAGGTCATACTAGATGGCTTTGCTGCAATGGGATTCCCTAAATGTGGTGGGGCTACAGACGGAATGCATATCCCTAACTTGGGACCGGAGCACCAGGGCAGCCAGTACATAAACTGCAAGGGGTACTTTTCAATGGTGCTGCAAGCACTGGTGGATCACAAGGGATGTTTCACCAACATCAACATGGGATGGCCGGGAAAGGTTCATGACGCTCGCATCTTCAGGAACTCTGGTCTGTTTAAACCGCTGCAGGAAGGGATTTACTTCCCAGACCAGAAAATAACTGTTGGAGATGTTGAAATGCCTATAGTTGTCCTTGGGGACCCAGTCTACCCCTTAATGCCCTGGCTCATGAAGCCGTACACAGGCACCCTGGACAGCAGTCAGGAGCTGTTCAGCTATAGGCTGAGCAAGTGCAGAATGGTGGTAGAATGTGCATTTGGACATTTAAAGGATCGCTGGCACAGTTTACTGACTCGCTCAGACTTCAGCAAAACCAATATTCCCATTGTTATTGCTGCTTGCTGTGTGCTCCACGAGCTCTGTGAGAGTAAGGGGGAGACCTTTATGGCGGGGTGGGAGGTTGAGGCAAATCGCCTGGCCTCTGAATACACGCACCCAGACACCAGGGCAGTTAGAAGAGCACAGCAGGAAGCGGTGCGCATCAGAGAAGCTTTGAAATCCAGTTTCATGACTGGCCAGGGTACTGTGTGACACTTTTGTTTGTTTCTCCTTGATGAAAACCCGCCCCCTTGGTTGCCTCTAAATTCCCTGTAAGCCACCCACCCTCCCCCCTTCGATCACAGCTTGCTTGCAAAGGAAATAAAGTAACTATCATTTAAAAAACATGTATTCTTTACTAATTGATTATAAAAATAGGAAGATAACTCACAAGGTAGGCCAGGTGGGGTGTGGGAGGAGGGTAGGAGGGAAGGAAAAGGCCACTTTAAAATTTGTTGAATGCCAGCCTTCTGTTGCTTGGGCTGTCCACTGGGGTGGAGTGGTTGGGTGCCTGGAGCCTCCCACCCCGCATTCTTGGGCATCTGGGTGAGGAGGCTATGGAGCTTGGGGGGAAGGAGGGCAGTTAAACAGGGGCTGCAGTGGCAGACTGTGATCCTGCTGCCGTTCATGAACCTCCACCAGACGCCGGAGCATGTCTGTCTGATCGCGCAGTAGCCCCAGTGTTTCCTCATGCCTCCTCTGATCTTCCTGCTGCCACCTCTCCTCACGTTCATCGGCCACCATCCTGTACTCTGCTATTGTGTCCCTCCACGCAGCTCTGTCAGTGCCGGACGACTGCATGAGCTCAGAGAACATGTCATCGCACGTGCGTTTTTTTCGCTGCCTTATCTGAGATAGCCTTTGGGACGGAGGAGGGAGGCTTGAAACATTTGCAGCTGCTGGAGGAGAAAAAGAGAGTGAAGTATTTTAAAAGATACATTTTACAGAACAATGGCTATACTCTTTCACGGTGAACAACACTATTCACATTAAATAGCACATGTGATTTTGGTACAAGGTCGCATTTTGCATCTTATATTGAGTGCCTGCGGCTTTGGTGTTAGAGATCACACACACAGGGCTGGGCAACAGAATTCGGCTTGCCGGCGGCCATGGTATGCCATAGTCTTTCGGCTTCTGTAACCTTCATAACAGCAGCCCCCTCCTTTCCCATACCAAGGAAAGCCTGTTGAGTTGGCCATTTAGTACTGCAGTTTTCCTGTTAATGTGCAGCAGCAGAAACCAAACTAACCCCTCCTCCCATCCAATTCTCTGGGATGATCGCTTTTCCCCTCCCCCCACTGCCTGGCTGGTATCAGGGAAGATCCCTGCTAGCCAAACACGAACAGCTCAGTGCCAATGGACCCCCTCCCACCGCGTGGCTAACTGTGGGGAGGATTTCTTTTCAGCCACAGGCAAACAGCCCAGTAGGAACGGGCACCTCTGAATGTCCCCTTAATCAAATTCCCCTATTTCAACCAGGTTACCATGAACAATATCACTCTCCTGAGGATAACACAGAGAGATAAAGAACAGATGTTGCTTGAATGCCAGCAAACACCGGGACTATACGTTGCCAGGCTTTGTCATGCAATGATACCAGATTACTTGCTACTAGCATGGCGTGGTAAAGTGTCCTACCATGGAGGATGGAATAAGGCTGCTCTCCCCAGAAACCTTCTGCAAAGGCTTTTAGAGTACCTCCAGGAGAGCTTCATGAAGATGTCCCTGGAAGATTTCTGCTCCATCCCCAGACACGTTAACAGACTTTTCCAGTAGCTGTACTGGCCACGAATGCATCCCAAGTCCTCAGGGCTACTTAATCATTAAAAAATGCTTGCTTTTATAACATGTATTATATTTAAAAAGGTACACTTACCAGAGGTCCCTTCTCTGGCTTCGTTGGGTTGGGAGGGTATTTTGGTCAGGGTGATAAAAAGATCCTGGCTGTCGGGGAGAACAGTGTGCTGTGTGCTCTCCTCAAGCTCGTCCTCCTTCTCCTCATCTTCCCCATCTGCAAAATCCTCAGCCATGGCAGAGAGTACCCCATCATGGGAGTCCACGGACAAGGGTGGGGTAGTGGTGGCGGCCCCCCCCCCCCAGAATTGCATGCAGCTCAGTGTAGAAGCAGCATGTCTGGGGCTCTGTCTCGGAGTGTCCGTTTGATTCTTTGGTTTTCTGGTATGCTTGTCTGAGCTCCTTAAGTTTCACGCGGTACTGTGTTGTGTCCCTGCTGTAGCCTCTGTCCCTCATGGCCTCTGAGATTTTTTGAAATGTTTTGGCATTTCATTTTTTGGAACGTAGTTCTGATAGCATGGATTCCTCTCCCCATACAGCAATCAGATCCAGTACCTCCCGTTCGGTCCATGCTGGAGCTCTTTTTCGATTCTGGGACTGCATGGTCACCTGTGCTGATGAGCTCGCCTGGCCAAACAGGAAATGAGATTCAAAAGTTCCTGGGGCTTTTCCTGTATACCTGGCCAGTGCATCCAAGTTCAGAGTGCTGTCCAGAGCGGTCACAATGGTGCACTGTGGGATAGCTCCCGGAGGCCAATACCTTTGAATTGCATCCACACTAACCCTAATTCAAAATGGCGATGTTGATTTCAGCGCTAATCCCCTCGTTGGGGAGGAGTACAGAAATCAGTTTTAAGAGCCCTTTATGTCTAAAAAATGGCTTCGTTGTGTGGACGGGTGCAGGGTTAATTTGGATTTAACACTTCTAAATCCGACATAAACTCGTAGTGTAGACCAGGCCTGAGGCTCCAGACCATTGCTGGAGGCTAGCCTGCTTTCTCTTGGCCGCATACTTAGTCCCGATTCAGTCGCTGCTCAGGCAGAACAACCATTGTCTTCAGTGGGACATTTATCTGAGTGAGACTGAATAAAGACTGTAGGATTTGGCCCACAGATTGCAAACATAAATATGAGGGCTTCTCTTTTTCATACACCTTGTCAGGCTGGCTAGTCTGGCATTACCCTAGAAAACTGGAACAGGCACATACCACCTTTGCAGTGAAGGGGGAGTCAGAGTCTCTTGAACGGATTCTACAGGGTAAAAAATCTCTGATTTCTAAAGTAACTTTTTGAAGAAATCTTACTTCTCATTGTCCCTGAAACCCCACTTATGTCCTGTGGGCCCTACTTTCAGGAGACTGGAATTTCCTGTTGTGGATTTCTGTACCTGAGATTACAGTGCAGTCTTATTTGTGTGTCTCACAGATTTCTAAGGACCTCATTGATCTCCAGATCGAGACAAACAAAATGAGAGAGCAGTATGAGGCAGAGAACTTTGAACTGAAAAATATGGTATGTGACACTATAATACTGCATTACATTCTGTATGCATTAACCCATCTCTGCTGCTCTTCATACTCATCCTCTGTCAGATACACTGACTCTAGGGTTAGAATCTTTGGTGTGCACTTAATACCCAGTTTATCCCGATCTCTTGCTAGAGCTGTCATTCTCCCTTCACTTGCATGAGCATTAAAATGCACTCCCAAACTTGTGTCACTTATGTGCTAAGCCTGATGAGAACCTGTTTTGCCAAGTGAAAACCTAGAAATGTTGCACTGGCCCACCCAGTTCCCGTTGTAGAGTCTAATTGTGCCTCGTGCACACTGTAGATCCTGACCCTGGAGAACCGTATTCTGGAGTTGGAGCTCCATGATGAGAAGGTCACTGGAAAGCATGATGCCCTACAGGAACGCCTGCACACTGTGGAGACCAATCGCAAAGAGCTGGCTGATGAGTACATCATTCTGAAAAGCAATTATATGGCCCTGGGCAAAGAACATGAACAGGAGGTGAGTGAGACCTGCTAACCTGCTGAGTTTTCCTCACAATGCAGGCTTTGCTCTCAGTGATGCTGCCCTCCTCCTCCTCTGTGCACATGCCTGCCTGCTGCCTCTTCAATTTCTACTTTGCTGTTGCTGGAGAACATCCTCCTGTTGGGCCTAAGAAAGAGCATGGATGTGAACTCCTCACAGAGGAGCCTTATTTGTTAGTGCATGAACCAGGATGTGTAATGGACCATGAAGAGAACAGTGAAACTGACTAGACATAAAATATTGTCAGAATAAACATATTGAATGAATGGAGAGGGATTTTTTGGGGTACTTTCTTTTAGTAATCTTAGTTTCTTTTACCCATGGGAGGTATGCAATTTTCATGTGGAAATATGATTTTCAAGTTGACGGTGTCCCTTTAAAATTTAAATTAGAGTTTTAATGGTATAGTAATAATACTTAGTATATTCATCCAACGATTTAAGAGCACTTTACAAAGGTAGGTAAGTGTCAATAGGTCCATTTTACAGTTAGGGAAATAGCAGCACAGAGATTAAGTAATTTTCCAAAAGTCACACAGCAAGTCAGTGGCAGAGTCAGGATTAGAAACCTAGGGTGAAATCCGGGTTTCATTGAAGTCAATGGGGCCAAGATTTCACCAGTAGTCTCTTGACTTCCTGTCCTCTGCTTTAACCACTGGACTCACTGCCAGAAGCAAGTGATTTTGAATTAGCTAGTTGGGACTAGTCACAATGTGTGGCTTTTGCTCATTATTTTTTCAGTACAGATTTTTCAAAAGGAGTTTCAGGTTCAAAACCCACAGTGATCTCCTCAGGACACAATGAACCTCTGACACTCTTCTAATTATGAGCTGTCTGTGAATTTGCCAGTGTGTTGTCATGGCTGCTTGGCCCAAAAGCATCTCTGTGAGCTCATTCGTGAGCTCTTGTAAATAACAGGGAGAGTCTCGGAAGCTTTATGAAAACAATTCTGTGTTTCTATTCACAGATTGCTCTGTGTCTGTCCAAGGGAAATGAGATTGGCTGGATTGGCCGTTTTAGCCATACGGCCCTTTTGGAAAAGTCTATCCTCTAAGATGTCAGTCAGTCATTTTGAGGCTGTTAGCAAATTTATTGTAAATCCTCTTTCAAATCAGTTAATCTGTGGCCTGCACTCAGCCCTACCCTTCTTTGCAGATGTGGGTGTGTGGATTTTGATGTTGGCGGTATGCAGATCAGCCATTGCCAGGCCCCCAAATGGCCATGTAAACTGGCTACATACTGGGCCATCCACCCTGAAAGGCTCAGGATTGCTGTGTAAGGGAGACGGAGAAACTTCTATTGTGGCCTCATCTGGAGTACTGTGTCCAGTTTTGGGCCCCACACTTCAAGAAGGATGTGGATAAATTGGAGAGAGTCCAGCGAAGGGCAACAAAAATGATTAGGGGTCTGGAACACATGAGTTATGAGGAGAGGCTGAGGGAGCTGGGATTGTTTAGCCTGCAGAAGAGAAGAATGAAGGGGGGATTTGATAGCTGCTTTCAACTACCTGAAAGGGGGTTCCAAAGAGGATGGCTCTAGACTGTTCTCAATGGTATCAGATGACAGAACGAGGAGTAATGGTCTCAAGCTGCAGTGGGGGAGGTTTAGATTGGATATTAGGAAAAACTTTTTCACTAAGAGGGTGGTGAAACACTGGAATGCGTTACCTAGGGAGGTGGTAGAATCTCCTTCCTTAGAGGTTTTTAAGGTCAGGCTTGACAAAGCCCTGGCTGGGATGATTTAACTGGGAATTGGTCCTGCTTCGAGCAGGGGGTTGGACTAGATGACCTTCTGGGGTCCCTTCCAACCCTTATATTCTATGATTCTATGATTCTATGATAACTGGGCCTACAAATTTACCTTGTGAGCTCAGCGAAGGAAGGAAGGAATTTAAATTCATAAGATGTCCCAATACTAACAAATGATGATGGGGAAAGGTGCAAAAGGGAGATAAAAAGACTGAATTAGTCCGAAACAAAAGGCCTCCTGACATAGCTCAAGGACTGTACCTGGTAAACAAGAAAATGTGGATCCAGAAATCAATTAACCAAAATCGATGTGTCAGATATTAGGCCTAATTGGTGGACAAAAAATGGGGAGATGGGCTATTCCAGCCATCACACCCCTTGTGGGTCCTTGAAGAAAGAGGCTTTGGGAGGAAAGTACAGAAGAACAGACAGGGATTACTGGAGCAAGCTTCACCATAATAGCTGCCATCCCCACTGTTTCCTGGGACTCCAGACCTTCTTCATTCTAGTCCTCAGAGATATCCAGACTGGCCAGAGAGAGCGACCCTGATGACATTGCCATCTCTTCCAGTTCCAGCTGAATCCCAAACACTGCCTGGGTTGAAACAGGATTGAATTATAACAACAACAGCAACAATGACAGCTCCAGCCCATCTAAACTAACTTCTTCTCTTTGGCCCCAAGAGTGCAGTTATTTCCATCTCAGATACCATCTAAGAATGTGTCAGACCAGGAGGGTGGGCATTCCTTTTAAAACCTCTCTCCAACGGAAAAGGGAATGGGGATGTTGTTACAATGAAAGTCTTATTTCATACTTTACATTTCAAACCCTTTACCTCTTTGTCCTTCTTCTTTGTCTTTAACAAAAGGTTAAAAGGATTTTTAATGGTGTTTGCCATGGCATTAAGCAGGCTGAGGTCTCTGTATACCAAACCCAGATCTTGTTTAACACCGTTTAATGTTGGACAGTGACTGCATTAACACCTTTGGCCCATGTAGTCCATCTAAATCAATACAACACTTCTCCTGATTTATGGAAGATGCTGTGGGGTTCTTCAGGGGCACTGGGGGGTTGTGCAACTTCCTCAAAATAGCCCTTTGCAAATTCCTGGTCCTGTCTCCCTGTAGCTATCCCCATAAAGCAAGATCTCTTGTAGCCCTTCTGTTCCTTTTACAGCTGTATCTCTCATTCGTTTGTCAGTCTCTCTTTTCTCCTCCCGTCACTGCCTCAACCCACCATATGCTATCTTTTAATCACCCATTATTGAAATGGATGGCTAAGGTTACCAAAGCATCACATCCTCCAGGATTCAGCACATTGGTAACAATTACTCAAACTTGTCCCCAATCAAAAACCCCATCAGCATTTTGTTATTTAATCCTCCCTTGAGACATGAATTCCCTCAATATTCACTCCAGATCCCCTGTAACTGAGCCTTTCTAGTTGAGATGATGTTTATCCTTCCAAAATGTGTACTGGCACTGCATTGAATCTGAATGGTTAGGTGGTGCTGTGGGTTAATCTACTTCTGGAGGTCTGTGTTCAGTTACAATAAAGATCAAAAATTAAATGACTTGGATGGCATCAGCCTAGTTCCTAGAGGACATCTGTCCATTTTTTGTAACACCATTCAATCTGGTTAGGAAAGGTCCAGGACTGGAATAGTAAGGGGCACTGCAGGTCACGAGTGAGGGGCACTGGCAGAGCTGCGGGGGTCAGGGAGAGGATTAGCAGGAGGACCTGCAAGTCCTGAATGAGGTGCACTGGCAGAGCTGTGTGAGGACTCCAGAACTGGAATAGCATGGATGCTGCAGGGGAGAATTGAGGGACATTGGCAGGCTGTGTAAGGAAAAATATCACACAGCAACACCTCTGCTCTCTCTAGCTGGTTCTAGACAATGATACCAGTCCTGCTTTTCCATGAGAATTAAATAGTTCACCACCATATTCAGACAGGTGAGAGGAAAAAAATCTGCTATCAGAGGGATAAAAGTGAATGCTTAGTGTATATAAAGAACTGCATGTGCATGCTGAATAATACGCACTGAGAGCTGGAGAGGGGAAATCTCAAGAAATGAAACACCCTTCTTGTTTTACTTTGCAGGTTGCTAAGAACAAAGAGTTGAGCATGGAGCTACTAAACCTGGTCAACACCAGGAGCTCCCTTCCTCAGTCATGGAGTAACTACTCCCCATCCCAAGCCCTGGCCAATGAAACCTTGGCCGAGCTGGAAAGGGTTCGGGCTGTGGTCCACCGCCTCTCTGCCCGGAAAGTGAAGGTATGGAACTTGTCTGGCCTCCTAGGTAGTCTGATCTCCTTGCTTCTGCCAAGGAGGGAAGAAATAGCTCAGTGGTTTGAGCATTGGCCTGCTAAATCCAGGGTTGTGAGTTCAATCCTTAAGGGGGCCATTTAGGATCTGGGGCAAAAATTGGGGATCGGTCCAACCCTTATATTCTATGATTCTAAGAGACCAGAATCTGACTACTGTCCTGTTCTGTTTTTTTAAATCAGCCAGAAGATATAGTTGCCTCTGAACATGAACGTCGAAAACTGGAGAGAAATGTGAGTGTGCAAGACTGCATGTGTATCTGAGCTGTGTCCGTGTGATTATTTATTGTGTGGGGCTCATCCTCCCTGTTCACCCTTCCCCCATGCAAAACATCTGTCAGATTGAATTTGGAGAATTGCCTACACATAGTTTCTTGAGAGCTGTGTAGTTACCAAATGGCATGTACTCTCTCTGGGTTTTTGTTAGAGAACTGGATTTGCATTGTTTTAAAAAGTGACTCCTGCAAGGAGAGGCTGCGGCTGGAGGAGCTGGGAGCTTCCCCCAGCCATTTTCACTGGGCAGATATAGACAAGAGTTTTAAAGGAAGTGGGTCTGTGTTACCTGCTAAGTGCATATTCCCCATAATCTCTCAGAAGGGTTGGCTCAGTGGTAGCACCTCTGCACTGCTGTGCAAGAGACTTGGGCTCAAACCTCTGGCCCATTGTCTTGCCCCCAGAGCTGGGAGAGCTGCACAATCAATCCACATAGTATCAGAATCATAGAATATTAGGGTTGGAAGGGACCTGAGGAGGTCATCTAGTCCAACCCCCTGCTCAAAGCAGGACCAATCCACAACTAAATCATCCCAGCCAGGGCTTTGTCAAGTTTGACCTTAAAAACCTCTAAGGAAGGACATTCCACCACCTCCCTAGGTAACTCATTCGGGTTCTTCACCACCCTCCTAGTGAAAAAGTTTTTCCTAATATCCAACCTAAACCTCTCCCACTGCAACTTGAGACCATTACTCCTTGTTCTGTCATCTAGTGCCACTGAGAACAGTCTAGATCAATCCTCTTTGGAATCCCCTTTCAGGTAGTTGAAAGCAGCTATCAAATCCCCCCTCATTCTTCTCTTCTGCAGACAAAGTAATCCCAGTTCTCTCAGCCTCTCTCATAAGTCACGTGCTCCAGCCCCCTAATCATTTTTGTTGCCCTCCGCTGGACGCTTTCCAATTTTTCCACATCCTTCTTGTAGTATGGGGCCCAAAACTGGATACCAATGCCGAATAGAGGGGAATGATTACGTCCCTCGAGCTGCTGGCAATGCTCCTACTTATACAGCCCAAAATGCTGTTCGCCTTCTTGGCAACAAGGGTACACTGTTGACTCATATCCAGCTTCTCGTCCACTGTAATCCCTCGGTCCTTTTCTGCAGAACTGCTGCCTAGCCACTCGGTCTCTAGTCTGTAGCAGTGCATGGGATTCTTGCGTCCTAAGTGCAGGACTCTGCACTTGTCCTTGTTGAACCTCATCAGATTTCTTTTGGCCCAATCCTCTAATTTGTCTAGGTCCCTCTGTATCCTATTCCTACCCTCCAGAGTATCTACCACTCCTCCCAGTTTAGTGTCATCTGCGAACTTGCTGAGAATGCAATCCACACCATCCTCCAGATCATTAATAAAGATATTGAACAAAATCGGCCCCAGGACTGACCCTTGGGGCACTCTGCTTGATACCAGCTGCCAACTACCCATTGAGCCCGGTGATCTAGCCAGCTTTCTATCTACCTTATAGTCCATTCATCCAGCCCATACTTCTTTAACTTGCTGGCAAGAATACTGTGGGAGACCGGATCAAAAGCTTTGTAAAGTCAAGGAATCCCACTGGGGAAAAAAGTATTAGCCTTCATTCCTTGGCTGAACGGGTGGTCTGAATGAGAGGGATCTTGAGAGCTCTGCTAGGGATATAGACAACCCCCTGGAGGTGGTGGTAATAAATCAAACCGAGAATGCTGGGCTGGAGTAGCCTCTTGCGTCAGTTGCCTCATCATTTGTGTGATATTGACTAGTGCTTCAGTACCAACCATTTAGTTTCTCATGGTAATCTGACTCTCCTATCCACATCTCATCTGAGTCCACACTTAGTGTGATGATACCTATTGTCAAAGTTTGACTCAGACTCACAATTTATCAGACCACTCTGTTTTATTAGCAAAGCTGCTCTGCTAATACATTTAGAAGTGAGCCCCCTGAGTGGGGCTTGTGTCTCTTAATTTATACAGTTTTTGGAGAACAAGTTACAGAGAAGTTACAGACAAAAGAAGAAAAAAGATTTTAGTCACCACCCTTCGAGATCCCTGAGACCAGTCAGGTATCTTCAATTACCTGCCACCCTTAACAATCTCCTTTAACAGCTTCCAGTTAACTTAACTAATTGCCCTTCACACCTTCCATTCTGATGCCTGCTTCTTAGACGTGCTGGCTCTATCTTAATTGCTTCTCCATTCAAAAGCTAACTGTCCCTACATGTGCTCCCTCAGATACTTTGTAACATGTTTTGGCATGCCCTCTCATATACAATGTATCCAGCATGTCCCCTTATACAACGCCATACTTATACAATGTTATACTTCCACACTATACCGCCAGGATAGATTTAACACAACCTTCCTATTGTATTAGCTGTATTTTAGTGTATTAGCTGCTCCCTATTCCGTCTGCCCTTTCCCCTGCATTTCACTTCACCCCCTTTAGCACGTATCATTCCAGCGAGTGGCAATCCGTTAGGTAACTGGTAATTTTTTCTTTCTCAGTGAGCTTTCTCTGCAGTTCAGTCATTCTCTTTGCAGGATGCCTTTCATCTTCCCCATTCATTCTTGTCTTTTAGTTGCTTGGAAACCAGGATCACAGAAAAGCTGAGATTGAAAAAATGAAGCAAACGTATGACTCTCAGCAACAGAAGCTGGAACAGAGAGTGTGAGTGTTTGAGGCCATCCCACCCCCTAGTAGAGTTGTTTGCCTAGCCCCTCGCACTGGAATATCTCAGCCTCACCAACATGAATGAATTGAATAGCATCCCTATTTTACAGCGAGAGACCGAAAGCACAGAGATAAAGGCTGCAAGTTTCAAGGGGCCCTGTGGATTTTAGGTGTCTGTCTCCTATTGAAGGTCAGTGGAATTTGGGTCCCTAAATCCTTGATGCCCCTTTGAAAACTGGAGCCTAACTGACATGCCCAGGATCACACAGAGAATCTGTGGCAGAGCATGAACAGAGCCCAGGTCTCCTGAGTTCCTGTGTCTTAAGCATATGATCATTCTTCCTTCCATCAATAGGCAGAGACTGAGAAGCTCAGCCCATGCTAGAGGAAAGGCTGTGACTAGAGGGGCTTTGCTCTCCCTTTCACATTAGTAGGCTTGGAATGAAATTTGCCTTTGGTTTCAAGTGAGCAGAGTTTGATGGTCTCAGCCCAGCATATAGTGGGCCACAGTTTGTAATATCTGCTTAAGAGATACCTGTACCAGGATATCAGGCTTTTTTGCATTGCTCAGCCTTGAGGACATAAATTGGCAAAGTTGCATGGAGTTGTGGGGTAGGACAGGTGCATAGCTCCTGCCTGTGCTTTTTCTGGCTCTAATCAATACTATTGGTTCCTTGCCTTAAGCACTACAGTATGCCAAATGGCGTGGACAGTATTCTGGGACAATGGAACAGCCATTTATGGAAGAGCACCTCAATGATTAAGGTGACATGTCCCCCCATTCTGTGTATGCAGGGTGGCAATGGGGAAGGAGCTGCAGCAGGCCAAAAGAGTGATTCGCAATACTCAGCACAAACTGGTGGAGCAGTCAGCGGTAAGATCCCTAGGACCCATCCTCTGACACTGTGACTCACCGAGATTGTCAGCTCCTCCTTTGGTTGTACAGCACCATACGCTAGTAACTTGGAGCCAATAGCAAGATGGGTGAGGCTCTGACCTGGAAGTCTCCCCTCCATGAAGTTTTGTCAGCATCTCATTCTGCAGGAGGGCTTGATCAATCTCAACTGCTGTTTCTGATAGCAGGGTCAGACTATATCAAGGAGAAACACCTGTGTTCAGCACATTTGTATAGCACTATGGAGCAGGGCCAGCTCATCCTCCATGGATGTGTTAAGTTTTGTGCTTCTGTCTCTAGGAAGCCAGAAACTGTCATTCTTCTGGATAAACTAACCCCTTTAGTACCTGGAAGATTCAGTTCCTCAATACTAAGGGGCCACATAAATGAGTTGCTGAGTCTTAGTCCAATCTTTAGTTATTGAACAGCTCCCTGCCTCAGTTTTCCTAGCTATAAAATAGAGGCATTAAGAATTTCCTCCCTCACAAGGTTCTGAAACGTCATTCCATAATGCTTGTAAAGTGTTTTGAGATCACCAGAGGGAAGGTGCCAATCAATTGGTGCCCAGATTCTTTGGGGGATGGGCAGCATATTTGGGGAATGGGTGCAGTAAACATTTCCTGGGTTGTTCTTGGATGACAGCAGAATCTTCCCTCCCTCTCTGCCCTTTATGAACTGTCTGATGTGGTCCCTTATGCCCTGCTTTTTAATAGTGACTTTTTCCTGGGAAAATGGACTGTTTGAGAATAAAGTTTCTAAGTTAACCTTCCTTTTCCTATTGAGTACTAGTGATTAAAGCTCAGCTGGCCAATAGGAGGCCCAGGGAAGAACCTGGTTCCCTGGGGTGACTGTATGCTTCTTGTGCTGTAGGTGCTGCTCACCTCTCAGAGCCAGCTCAAGGAGGTGGAGGTTGAGAATTCCCAACTGCAGCTTCAGCTGAAGGAGCTGAATGAGGAATATCGCTGTCGTCTTACTCAGTACATCAAGGACCTGGTGGTGAGGATCCCTGCCATGTATGGGCATCTGCATTTCCATTCTTTGGGTTTAGTTATTCCTTCCAGTTTTACATGCAGACATTTGAATTTGGCCACTGCCCACTGCTCTTAAAACTCTACTGTTTCCCTCTTCGAGCTGTAGGCTAGTGGAGTAATACCACTCTGTCAGGTGGCTGCTAGGGAGAGTTGAAGAATGGGATCTTTTCTCCCTCTTTATGAAAGTCTAACAATACGCTGCATGTATTCTGATTGCAGCCCATGAGTCTGGGGGCAGGAGTACCCAAATCATTGCCTGACCCAGATTTCCCATGTGACAGCCCAGAACTATCACCGAGTCTCTGCCACGTCTCTCTCTCGGTCAAGTTATTTTAATTGCACGTTCATTTTATTTATTATGGCTACTTTTCAATTGGCTTTTAAATCCAGTGCCCTGGAAGTCTCTCTCAGCAGGCCAGACTGTGCCACTTTTGGCTCCACAGTGTGCTGACTCCATCGTCTGTGGTAAAAGAATCCTCCCTTTGTTCCTCCAGGAGGAAACACTGACACCCTCCATGATCCATGGCCTCTTCACCTTTCCTGCTGTATCACAGAATTTTGTAACATGAGTGGCCTAAGGTTATTATGGGAATACACTTCTCTGGCATGCAATGAGTTTTCCAGGGGATCAATGAGGACTCAGAGCACTGCAGAAGTGTTAGACTTCATGGCATAGGACCTACACTGATCCCTGAGTACATTCTGCAGGACAGTTCATTGAGGAAAACTGGCCATATCTTGGAAGAAATCTGCTAGTCTCTCCATCCTAGGTAGCAGTACAGTCTTTGCCAACAGCTGCAAGAGATTGCAGTGTGGTGATGGATCAAGAGAACAACTGAAAGGAACCTTTGCTAAGAAGAACAGCTCAGTTTCTAATAGAGCTCTGTAATCTTCTGAACAAGCAAGGAGTCAGAGATAGTGTGGTCTAATGGAGTGAGCAGAGGAATAGAAGCCAGCATTCTCACCTCTGCCATTGACTCACTGTGTGTCCAAGGCATTAACGTCTCTGTGCCTCATTTTCCCCACTTGCTGCAGGCTAGTTAGTTTGTACTGGACTTACTTATTGGAAAGTACTGTAAATGTTAAGCATTCTGATGATGATGAGTTCTCCTGTGCAGGACAGGGAGTAGCCACCCTAATACATTGGTTGAGTGTCTTAGGAAACAGCCATTCTGTGTTCAGCAGTCTGCTTGAGCTGATTTCCTTCTCTGTGTTTAAAGGAATATATGGACAGCAAATCAAATGCTTCTAAGGGGCCCAACAAAGTACCAGCTGACCATGCTTACATGAAGTGCTTTGTGGATGGCATGCTGAAGGACATCCGGGCTGCCCATAAATCTCGGGAGGAGCAGCTGGCTGGAGCTGTGCGCGGTTACAAGAAGCGTATGCAGAACCTCATCAAAACACATGAAAACCTGCTGATTGCTTATAGGTAGGTCAGGGGGCTTTTGAGTCCTTTCTGTAGCCATGAAAGATCATCATCCCGCTAAAGCACCCAAATAAGAAGGACTACTTAGAACAACTTGTGCTCTATAGTCCTTCAGAGCAACACTACACCATCCTCCATTAATGGTGGAGAGGCAACCAGAGGCTAGTGGTTGGAGCGGAGAATTTGTGATCTGGAAACTTGGGTTCTGTTTTTGACTTGCTAAACACCCTTGAAAATCAGGAGCAAAGCATCTCAACTTATGTACCCAAAATTGGGACTCTTCTCAAAATTCAGGCATTCTTTGTGCCTTAGTTTTCCACTATGTAAAATGTGAATTAAGACACTTGCTAAACTTTGTAAAGCTCTATAGGCAAGAGGTGCAGTATAAATGCACAGCACTTACTTTAATTTTTCTAACCAGGGTTACCTCATGCTACATAATCCTTCCATGCAACACTTGCTGCATACTTGATGCTGTGTCCTTCTAATTTCATAGAGCCCTTCCCTGAAACACAACCATGTACCATTGTCTTTCCCAGCAGATAGGACTGTAGGTAATGGTTGAGAAGCACTGGCTTTGATGGAACTCTGAGTTCCTCTATTCTCTCTGTTAGCAGAAACATGCCAAAGAATAGTATGAATGCTTCTGGCTGGTTCTACTCATCTCAGTGTGTGGCTTGGCCTCTCATTGGTATCAGATATGCAGAAACAAGTGGACAGTAATTTACCGAGCTGATGCTGCCTCCCTCATTGTTATTACTTGTTGTTTGACTATCCTGCTGGCTTCTTTTAAGGATGCAGCGTGAGCAGATCCAGTCTCAGGGTGGCAGCAAGATAGACCCAGGCCCTCCTGAGTTCCATTTCACCATCACAGATTCTGAGCTACTGACAAGCACAACCCAGGAGCTAAACCAGCTGCGAGAGGACAAAGCAAAACTAGAGACACAGCTGCATGAACTGCAGGAGAAGGTAACCACATGCTTCACTGCATTGCTGTTGTGCAGGGAGTGGACTTGTCAGGTGGAAAGAGAGGTTCAGTTTGATCTCTCATTTTCCCCTCTTGATCCTCTAGTGCAGTGGTTCTCAATCTATTTACCATTGTGGGCCACATCCAATACTACCTGTATGGCCCTGAGGATGTCACATGGGCTGCAGCTGTGTGCTGATTGGGCTGCAGGTTGAGAACCACTGCTCTAGTGTTTGTTGTAGCCCAGGCTGCCCTTCTGGGGGGCAGCACCAGCAATGGCCCATGCTCTCCGTCCCTTTGTGCCTCTCCTTGTGACAACTGTGAGGAGGTGGGACACCTGATCACAGTTGTCATGTCTAGTATAGTTGTACCTGCTGGACCTCTACAGTGTGTAGGTTTGCACACTGCAGAGAGGTTGTAGGGATGACAGAGATCTGTGGGGGAGGGTTGTTTATTCTTCAGTCTGGGGATTGTGGAGGAAGCTAACGAGTGAATAGGCTGGGAAGAAGGGGTTGACTCTGGTAGCAGGTACTGCTGCTCTCACAGTAGTTCTGTCGTGGTAGCAGTGAGAGCTGCTAGTCCATAACTACCTTAAGGATACTATAGTTGCAGCCTCACTTTTTGGAGAAAAGCCAGGGAGGCAAGAGAGGGCAGAGCAAAGATTTCACTGTCCTTAGAGGCTTTACTGTCTCAGCAAAATAAAATATACAAGGAATTGAATGGCAGACAGTACCTGGAAAGATTCCAGTTTTATCCATTTCCTCTCCTTAATTTTGTCCAAGAGCAGTTATGTTCCTAAGTTCAAATGAGCTAGCTTTACTTCCCAGTAGAGAGGAAGAGCCACAAGCCTTGAGATCATCTTGCACAGCGCTTCCTTGTTAGTGTCAGTGGTGGCCATTTACAACAACAGAGATGTGTCCAATGCTGGCCCTGCAAAGGAACAGGGATTCCATTGGGTTAATGCTCACAAAGATGATGTTCTTCCTTTGCCTATAGAAAAGACTGCGTGAAAGCTCTGCACTAGGACCATCTCTTCACCAGTAAGTAGCTTCCATTTATGTAATTGGTATTGTAATCTCCGTGTCAAAGGTGGCTGCCTCCTTCATCCCTCTGCATAACACTACGGATCCAGAGCTGCTTCAGCTGTTTGGGGAAAGGAAATAAATAAGGACAGGAGAGGCCGTGCTGGCTGAAATAATTTAATATGTACAAAAACGTAGTAAGTGGAAAAGTCAGTTTTGTCAGGTACAGCATACTTAGTCTGGAAATGAGGTAGCCATTGAGGCCCTAATTTTAATCATACTTGTAGTGCCATTGATTTAAATGGGACTACCTGTGACCTTAAAGAATCAGGGAAGTCTTGTTTCTGCTTTCTCACAGTACATGAACACGCTTGCAAGTTTTGGGTGGAGCAGGGGTTGGTGCAGGTGTGCCACAACTGTGTCTGGTACCTCCTAGATTTGGCTGCTTGTCACTTATTCAGTAGTTTTTGATGAGTTATCTTTCTTTCCTCACTACTCAGTTATTCTACTGAGACTCTAATTACCGAGCTCACAGAGAGAGAACAGATGCTAGTACAGGGGTCGGCAACATTTTAGAAGTGGTGTGCCGAGTCTTCATTTATTCACTTTAATTTAAGGTTTCGCGTGCCAATAATACATTTTAACGTTTTTTAGAATGTCTCTCCCTATAAGTCTATATATTATATAACTAAACTATTGTCGTATGTAAACAAGGTTTTCAAAATGTTTAAGAAGCTTCATTTAAAATTAAATTAAAATGCTGATCTTACGCTGCTGGCACGCTCAGCCCGTTGCCGGCCTGGGGTTCCATTCACCTAGGCCGGCAGCGGGCTTAGTGGGGCCTGCGGCCGGGACCCTGGCTGGCAAGGAGCAGGCAGCCAGAACCCCAGACTGGCAGTGGGCTGAGCGGGGCTGGTGGCCAGGACCCCAGACTGGCAGTGGGCTGAGCGGCTCGGCCCGCTGCCACTCAGCCTGCTGTCGGTCTGGGGTTCTGTCCGCCGGCTCCTGCCAGCCAGGGTCCCGGCTGCCGGCCCCGCTCAGCCTGCTGCCGGTCCTGGCCCTGTCCACATAGAGTAGGTACCTACCTTCTCCCTGGTTCTAGCCATTCTCTTCCTCTCTCTGCACTGAGATGAGGGTGGGAGTGTGCTGAGAACAGGGCTGGGGGTGAAGGAGCAGGCTGGGGGTTGGGGTGCAGGGTCTGGCCAGGAGCTAGAATGAGGGAGGGGGCTCAGGGTTGGGGCAGGAGGTTTGGGTGTGGAGTGCTTACCTGGGCAGCTCCCATTTGGTGCGAGGGGTGCAGGTGGGAATGTGGGTGTGTGTGTGTGTGCAGGAGCTCCCGTTTGGTGCGCGGGCCAAAGAGTCAGGGCATGGGGATGGGGGTGTGCGAGGAGGGTGCAAGAGTCAGGGCTGGGGGGGCTGGGTATGTGGGGGGGGTGCCGGAGTCAGGGCTGGGGTTGTGGGGGGGAGAGTGCAGGGGTCAGGACACGGGGCTGGGGTGTGTGGGGTGTGCAGGGGTGAGGGCAGAGGGCTGGGTGTGTGTGAGGAGGGTTCAGGGGTCAGGGCAGAGGGCTGGGGTGTGTGCGGGGGTACAGGGGTCAGGGCAGAGGGCTAGGGGTGTGAGCTGGGGTTTTAGGGGTGCTCCCAGCCCCCTGCCCTGAGCGGCTCACGGCAGGGGGCTGGAGGGGATATGCCCTGATTCCACCCCCTTCCCCAAGATCCCTGGAGCAGAGAGTGTGCTGCGGCTCCGCTTTTACCTCTCACCCACTTTTTCCTCTCCCCCTCCGTAGCAAGGGCTGTCAGCTGATCGTCCACGGAAAAGAGTGGGCCAGGCCAGGCAGGATTTTTAGTGGCACGCTGCTGTCTGCCCGGGTCTGGCATTAAAAATTGGCCCGCGTGCCATGTTTGGCACGTGTGCCATAGGTTGCTGACCCCTGTGTTAGTATAAAACTGTTAAGGTTAGAAATATGCCTCCTGCAGGGGGCACTGCAGCTGCAGGAGACACACATGGTCTCGTGTCCTTTGGGCCTAAAGAGGACACTGTCCACACTTCTCTCTAAGGGATCCATCTTTCCAGGCAGCAGTGATAGGTAGAGCCCTGTGCGTATACAAAGTTTTATCCGCATCTGATCCACAAACATGGTCCGTGGATACAAAGTGGATAGCTGCAGATTTGCAGGGCTCTAGTGATAGGAAGTAATAGTGACTCAGGAACTAAGAGGAGATTCTGCAATCAAGAGCAGGGAAGTATACAGGGTGAGAAGGGCCTGCCATTGCTGCTGTCCTCAGTACTACCACACTATGGGCATGTGTTTAAAGATACTCGCTATGCTGAACTTGAAGAATCAGTAGAAATTCTGATGATTGGCAGATGAGGGGAGAGGGAGAGTAACTTGGAGGGACTACAGTTTTTCCACCATGAATAGCCTATTATTTTTTGGTAACTTCACCCTGCTAAACTTGTAAGCACAGAGGACTCTGTCTTCCCAACAGAGAGGGCTAGAAACATATTTCTTTTTCAATGAAAGCTTAGATTACACAGTGGAGCTTGTACTAGACCCCTCCCAAAAGCTATTACATATAAGACCAACAAATTCAGGGCCTGTTTCTCTGTTGCCTAATTCCTCATGCAGTGATTGACACTAGGACAAAGTGGGCATAAAACACTAGTCATCTGATTTGTTACCATTTCACATGCACTTGGCACTTCCTTTCAACAGGTCTACACAATGGCACCAGGGCAGGGCAGTGGAGTATCAGGCTCTGTCTCTAATGAGCAACAGCTTTTATGCTCCAGCTTGGTCAAGGTGTCCCATGCACTATTGTCACTGTAGATTAGAGTATAACAGAAGCTAGGAGTTCTTAGATGAAGCTGCTTTGGAGTTATGAGTGGACAGAGAGAATAATTTTCAGAAAAAAATTCCCCCCTCTTCAACACCTCATTCTTGTAAATACCCTACCACAGCAGAACATTACACTGCACACCCAATTCTCTCCTTGGGAAGAGGATGAGAGAACAGACACGTAACAGACCATAGTAAAATTTCTTAATGTGCTACTGGAAAGTGCTTAGATCCCCTGGTGATGAGGGTAGGATATGAACCTCTATCAACCAGAATACTTGTCCAATTAATCTGACACTTTCCTGAACACTTTTCTGTGAATGACTTCATGTGAGAAATGGTAGGTGGAAATCATCCTCCCCCCCCTTGAAATTGGGGTGTGTGAATGAGAAAGAGAATTCAGTTTATAATATAAACTGTATTAAAGCCTTACCCATGGAGTCTCTAGTGTGACATATTTCAAACAGAAATTCAGTTTTAAAGAGATTCAAATATGTAACTCTTCTGAATCAGTGAGACCCTAAGCTACATGGTTACCAAGTGTCTCTAGAAATGAGCGCTAGCTCTATGCCTGATTCTGCCATCATTTCCCGTGCTGAGCAGTACTTTAATCCTTGAGCGCATCCATTTATTTCAATGGGACTACTTGAGGAGTAAGGGACAAAAGTAGCAGAATCTGGACCTTAGTGATGCATCTTCCTGTTAAGTTTCTTTTAGAGGCTTGTGTTCTATCCATACTTGTAATGACATTTATTTTCTGTTTATATCCTTGCCATGATCTCCCTCCTTTTACTAGACTGACAATGCATATTGTTAGAGACAAGGTGGGTGAGGAATTTTTTTTTTATTGGACCAACTTCTGTTGAGAAGTTAATCCAATAAAAGACATTACCTCACCCCCCTTGTGTCTCATATCCTGAGAGCAATACAGCTAGAACACTGCAAATGCATGTTGTTAACAGAGTTGATTCACTGAGAGCTATTGCTGTATTTCCATTACTATTTAAACATATGTATTTTGCTGTTATTTTTGATCTCTTAACTATTTTACTTATATAAAATTAAAATCCCCTTCTTCCAGAAAGGTTTCAGAGTAGCAGCTGTGTTAGTCTGTATTCGCAAAAGAAAAGGAGTACTTGTGACACCATAGAGATTAACCAATTTATTTGAGCATAAGCTTTCCTGAGCTACAGCTCACTTTTTTTCAGTTGTTAACACAGTCACCAGAGGGAGCTCTTTCAATCCCAATTAAGCCTCTAACTTCTATATGGGCTAGAGTTTGAACACAATGCATTTCTCATTTCATACCATTCTTTCTATATAATCAAAATCCCCTGGCCATCAGATGTGACCTATATTTTACTTATTCAGTCCAGGACAGAATAGGAAGAACTTTCCCATGGCTTGGCTGCCTATTTCTTCATAATTAGCTCATCTGTCACCGTTTTTACACTCCACTTTAGAATGTGTGGATTTGTGCAGAAGCACAAAAAGAATTAAGTGCTAGTGTTTGGCATTTGTTCTGCCTCTCACCTCTTTTCCCTTAAAGTTCAATCCTAGTGAGTCAGATTAATGATTATTTCTGCACTGAGTCCCTTCTCATGTCTGTTTTGATGATGTAAACTAAGGGCAAATCCAGCCACCTCAGCAGAGATCCAGGTTATAGGACCTGTGACTCTCATTGCCCAGGCAGGTGAAGGAATAGAGGTGTGCTCTGTAGCCATGCAGGGAATCAGGCTGGAAGATGATCTGAAATTTATGCTTTCTGGGGTGCTGAAAAGGCAGTAGCAGTCTGGCAGCCATGCCAAGCCCCATGGTTTAGGGATGGTCTGGCTTTGTATACATGATTGTAACTAACATCTGCTGCTCTATCCTAGCAAGCTGGATGAGGTGGGCTGGGCAGAGATCAGAAAGCAGCTCCAGGAGTTCACACATACCACGCAGGTAAAATACTTTCTGTTCTGAGGCAGACTGAAAAGAGGGCTAAGCATAGACCAAGCACTTCTGCAATTGTAATGGTCACTGCCACCGTTACCATTACATGTTCATTCCCAGGACAGATGCTTTTCTTGATCTAACATGCTGCTACCTGCTGGAGCTCTTCCAAAACATTTCCCATCTGTGCACCAGCAGCAGTGCAGCTCCACTGGGAGATAACACCACTGGCAGCTCCAGAGCAGACAAGCTGCTTGTGGCCAGTGGCAGTTTTACCACCATGTTGTCTAGATTTGCCCTGAGCAGGGTTGGTTGCCATGGTAGTTAAAAACACTAGCGCTCCCTTTATTACTACCACTGGTGAATACAAAGAAGGGAAACATTCAGGAGGAAAGGCTGTCGCAGAGACCCCAAGCACAGTTTCTGAAACACTGTTGCCTGCAGTACTCTAGCACTTCAATCACTTTCAGTGCTGGGTTGCGGGGGGACAACTGCTGGAAGCATTTGCAGCAGGGCTTCAATTTCCTAGTCTGGATTAGCTATAGACACCGAAGCAAAACATGCTTTCCTATCATTTCTTCTGTCCATACAAGTTAGGAGAAATCATATAACACTTTGTGGTCACATGGTTGGTTTTTTTTTTTTTAAATTTCATTTAGACAAGGACTAAAGGAGGGAAGCAGTGTGGCCTAGCAGATAGAGCACTGTAATAAAACCTCAGGAGATATAATGCCGGCTTGGCCACTGGCCTGCTGGGTGACCTCGGGGAAGTCATAGCACAACTCTGTGCTTCAGTTTTCCCAGCTGTAAAATGGGGATAATACTCCTTTGTAAAATACTTTGAGATCTACTGAAGAAAAGCACTAAATAAGAGCCAGAGATTATTATTATAAAGGGAAGATCTCTTTAAAAACTCTTGCAAGGGAAGGGGATGGAGGTCATATACATTCCAATGCTGTACATCTGGAAGCCACACTACCAATCCCCACACCGCCCTAGTGGAGAGAGTAGGTTGTGAGGTGGTTGTCTGGGGATAACTGGGGGTGTTTTAGGCCTGGATTTAACACTCTTTCCTGCTGATCGTGTAACAGGAGGCTTTGATATTAAACAGCACCTCCCCTCTCAGCCCATCTCAATGCACCTGACAGTGTCTCCAAGCTGGCTGCACTGGTAGGATGTCATTGTTTTCAGGGCACTGAACACCTGTGGTTTGGCTTTTTGGGAGGCTCATGTGTCTGAATGTTGTTCTGATTTTCAGTTAACCGGGCAGCTTATTTAGCTTAATGCCCAGAAATCTCAGGGCTGGAGGATGCGTGCATGAGAAATTCAGTAGCCTCTGATTTGATGACCACTTCAGAGGGAAGAGTCAGCACCAGTCCAGTGCTTCCCACAAAGCACTCCCTTATCACTTCTTGTTCTCTCCTTGCTATTTCTGCCCCCAGGAGGATCTGGAGAGGGAGAGAAGCCAGCTGCTGACTCAGGCAATTGTGGCAGAAGAGCAGGTGCTGGAGCTGCAGGAATATGTAGATAAGCATCTTGCAAGGTGAGATGGGGATCCCTTCATCTGTCCTGTGCCCCATGCAAAAGGCTTACTTCCAGGGCTGATGAATACTGTGATAACTGCTCCAGTGTAGACACCTGACCTAACTGCTGCCTTCCCACAGTGCAGCCCAGCTAATGTTTGAAAGTGAATCCAGCTGTGTGAGCAGCTGGCATTATCAGTAGCTCAGCATGATCAAGGGAGTTTGCATCTGTTCTTTCTAGGGACATAATATTTCCTTCCTCTGGGCTGCAGCCCATACTGCAGATGATGAAAGCTGTGTAGGAGGCTAAGGAGGGGGTGAGTGGGGAAGACTGTCTAGAATTCAAAGCCTTTCCACTCTAACTCATTTAACATGTCCACTGTCTCCAACTGGTTCATCACAGCCACAGCAAGGGAGAGAAGCTGCTAGTGCTTCCACCACCAGGAGGTGCTATTACACTTAGCTTGTACAACTGCAACTAATTGCTCTTAAAAACAGAGGACCAAAATCATGCCTGGTGTAACTCCCAGGCTTGTTGCTGATGGAATCCCTTGGCTGAGTTCCTAGGTATCAGTTCACATGAAGTGTTGGGACAAATGTAGCACTGCCCTTAGCTGTAGTTTTCCCGTCTGGATAGCGTTTGGGAACTTGGCTTCAGCCTCACATTGGCTTTACAATCTCAGTCCTCAGCAGAGTTCTTATGACCACAGCTGATGCAAGGTTGATATTGCTTTTCTTTGTAACCTGTGTTTCTTGCAGGTACAAGCAGGAGATCCTGAGGTTAAGGAAACTTGTAGGGAGCGAGGCACCCAGAGCATTCAGTGCTGGGGCTTCTGATGCTCACTTAATGCAGAGATCCAAAAGGACCATCAGCCCTGAACTGTAGCTTTTGCCATGGCCCTGACAATCATAGGAAAGACAAGGACATAAAACTGAGTTGCTGCCAGGCTGTAGTATTCAGTGCTCTGGCACACCAAGAGATAATCCACTCCAGCAAGTGCTCTTCACATTAGGGCCCTCTTACTAGAGGACTAGGACTTGCTGAGAAGGAAATCAGCAGTATACATTTGACTGTACAGAGGTAAATAAATTTACTAAAAATCAAGATCAAAACTCAGTGCTTTGTTCCCACTTTATCTTGTTTTGTCAAGTTTCCCTCCCTCCAGCAGGCCATAAAGATTTCCCTTTTATTGCAGAAGTGCTCAGTAGCCGCAGAGCGCCATTGCTGATACCTCAGGGTAGTGCAGCACCAGAGTGGGTTGAACCATCACCCAAACTTAGTCTACTGCAGAGCTGGTGGACTCAGTTTACTATGCACCTGAATTAACAGGTTCCCTTCACCTTCTGCTAGACCGTTGCCTTTAGCATTGTAACAGCTGCAAAGTGCTGTGCTTCACCGGTGCTAACTCCCACCACCTGACCCCTGTCTGAGCTAGAGAGGAGTTAAAGTAGGGTTCAGGTTAGGATTTGAGCTCAGTTGCTCTTATGCACAGGGTACTGAAGAGACTTTACTGCTCTGCACTCATGGTGAGTTGTTCCATGGAGAAGGGCCTGCTGCGTGGGGATTATGTGAGGAGGACCTACAGGGAATTGATTAGCAGGGAGAAAAGGAGAGACCTGGAGAAGCTGCATTATTGAGCCTTCCCCCCAGGGAATTCTGAACACAGTCCAGAATGGCTTTGTCTACAGTGAGGGGCAAGCAGCACCCCAGCCCTGCCAGAAGAATGAGCAGAGTCCCGTAGCCCTTTTATTGTTAGAAAATGAATTGCAAATAAATTAAGAAGAGAAATGAGTTATTTCAAACGAGAATCAAAGATTCAGCTCTTCAGTCTTGTGACAATTCTTTGGGGATTTCCAGCCCAATTCCACAGCTCAAAGGCTGCCCAGGATTCTGGTTCTAGGGAAGCCAGAGCACATGGGGTAAAGTCTGGCAAATCATCACCCCTCCCTTCTCATTGCAACACCCCCCCAACCCCCATGCTTGCTGAGCTGTTCAGCTGAACAGCCACACTATGGCAGCATTTGCCCTCCAGAGCAGTTCTGAGGGGCTAAAAAAGCACACACATTTGCAGAGGCTCCAATGCTATTGTCCAGGCTGTAAACCCCAGCTGCAGCTGAGCTCTCAACTCATTCTGGGCTTCCCTCAAATTTGTTCTTTGTTTGCCGTACAGTCTTGATATCATAGGCCCAGCTTCTGTTTATACCCTCTCCAACATTGGTGGTTGGCATCCAGGTAGGAAAGGGGAAGCGTCCAGCCACCACACGGGCCTCGTCTGGCAGTTCCGCAAGCAGCTTTGTCTCTAGGAGAGGTAGCTAATGGGGAGGAGGAAGGAGAAGCTGTTACTAACAGTCACAGATATCACAAGGAGGGGAAAAAGTTGGTGTGTGTGTGTGTTGATGCGTTCTAGAGACTTTTTGCAGGTTTGCCATTGGTTAGCAGAGTTGTCATTTTGATTATTAATATTGATATTGAAGTGGCATCCAGTGCCCCAGTCAGGATCCGGACCCCACTATGGTGGGCATGGTGGAAACGCATTTATAGATGAAGCCCCAGGACACATTCATTGAGCTTTGCTTTTATGTCCAAAAATTAATTTTATCTCAACAGTAAACAGTAATAGCCCAGAAGGGGGCTAGCTCCCTGGAGATGAGAAGTAAATGCCAGCAAGATCTATTCTTTAGTGGTAATATCCACAGGGCAATAAATAATAGCTTCATAGAAACTTATCTCAACACTACCTGGGATGGAGTTCAGTAGGCCCCTGTTGCAAGACTTCTAAGTATTGCCAGTCTATCAGAATAAGCAGGGTTTATGATAACCCTTTTTTTAATCTCTGAACTGAGGCCAGATCTGCAGATGCACTGAGCACTTGCTGCACCCATTGAAACAAGCAGGAGGCGCAGGTGTTCAGCACCCCAGCATGTTTAGGAATTTTGAATCACAAAATGCAAACTTTGATGTATCCATCCCTACAGCTACACAATGCTGACTGCATTCACCTACCTCTGTAGTCACTGGGCGTGCCGGTGCTCAGCATCTCACAGAGCTGGCTGGGGATACAGTAAGAGGTGTATACTCAGCACACGTGGGCAGTTTCTCAGCAGATCCAACATTTGGACTATCCCCGCTCAACGAAAACTCCCACTGACTATGATGGGGCCATTAGGAGGTGTTCACAGCAGCCTTGTTAAGGCAGTTGCACTAGGATTTGATTGGTTATGTGAAACATATATAGTTCTAGTGCCATTTTCTTAAGGGTTTTTGCCAACATTCAGGATGATCCCATTAGTCTGAGTATCCTCCCTTCTCATTGATTTGCCCAACGAAGTATGAAATTGTCAACCAGCCCTTCACCCTTAACCTCCTGTACCTGTCCCTAGAGCATGCTTGGACTTACCACACTGGGAGCTAGGAACACAGAGACGTTGTTGCAGTCAGACACGTTTACCTTTAAGAGGATAAAGTCAGTCAAGGGGAGAGAAATAACAGGCTGAGGGGATTGTACAATGTGTGCTGGGGAAAGAGGATCTTAGTGGCATCTTAGATCTGTGCACAAGGGTCAAACTTCACTTGTTGACATACAGGAAGTTATTCTAAACCCCAAAGAGGTCAATAATATTGAGCAAGTGAGATTTTTGGGAGGGCGGAGTTGTGCTGTTATCAGGAGGTGCTGCAAAAACCCTGTTACTGGACTAGATGCAGGTGTGTCTCTGATAACAGATTAAATAAAATCTTAGGGTCCCAAAATGTAGAGATGGGACTGACTTATTAGTTCATAGAGTCATAGAATCATAGAATCATAGAATATAAGGGTTGGAAGGGACCCCAGAAGGTCATCTAGTCCAACCCCCTGCTCAAAGCAGGACCAATTCCCAGTTAAATCATCCCAGCCAGGGCTTTGTCAAGCCTGACCTTAAAAACCTCTAAGGAAGGAGATTCTACCACCTCCCTAGGTAACGCATTCCAGTGTTTCACTACCCTCTTAGTGAAAAAGTTTTTCCTAATATCCAATCTAAACCTCCCCCACTGTAACTTGAGACCATTACTCCTCGTTCTGTCATCTCCTACCATTGAGAACAGTCTAGAGCCATCCTCTTTGGAACCCCCTTTCAGGTAGTTGAAAACAGCTATCAAATCCCCCCTCATTCTTCTCTTCTGCAGGCTAAACAATCCCAGCTCCCTCAGCCTCTCCTCATAACTCATATGTTCCAGACCCCTAATCATTTTTGTTGTCCAGTGGTTCTCAACCTATTTACCATTGTGGGCCGCAATGTGGCTGTGTGTGTTATGCGAGCTGCATTCACACAATATATATACACTATCTGTATGGCCCTGAGGATGTCACATGGGCTGTAACTGTGTGCTGATTGAGCTGCAAGCGGCCTGTAGGTTGAGAATCACTGATCTAATCCATCCCCGCCAGTGTTTTCTCCAGCCTAGTTTTAGATGTGTGGAGAGGTTCAGCTTTTGCTAATAGATCTTTAGGAGGCTCGATGCACTTCTAGAGCCCCAGCTATAGACGGTCAATATGAGAGGAGCATCTTCAAGCTTGCCCTCCAGCTGCACTGAGAAAGGACATTTGTGCAAGCTAGGGGGCTCTTTCATTATCCCTCTTGTAGAGTTTCCCAGCTCTCCAGACCTCAGTGTTTTCAACATCATTTTCAGATGTGTGTGTTAAAGGCCAGAAGAAGGAAAACAGATGGATGATCCCAGCTAAACACACCTGAGGAACCTACAAAGGTGACTTAACAGTAATTCAATATTATTGGACAGAGAGGGCCAATGTGGCTTTCTTCTCCCTTTTGCCACAGTGCTGCTGATGTAGGAACTGAGGAAAATTTCTAGCACACAAAGTATATCTGATTCATAAGGAACAGTTCCAGTGGGGGAAAAGGGGAAAAAAAACCCAGTGCCTCTAATAAGTAGGTTTGGAGGAGAATGCTGAACCTTTTGTCCAGCGTGGCTAAAGCCCTGATGTCTGTGTTTAGCAGAGGTGGTAGGTCCTTTGATCTTAGAGACAATGTAGTCAGGCAGGCTCAGAAATCCAGGGTCCTGACTCCATCACAAGAAGTTACCTTCCATAGATCTTGCCGATGGTAGAAAACCTTCCCGTAACACCCAGCCCTCCAGGCGCGATAGTTGGAGAGTCTCAACAGCCAGGGGTTGAGTTCGTAGCCAACAGCTGGTCTGAAGCCTCGTTTATATGCTTCTAATACCTGGAGAGAGGAATTGAAACCAAAATAAACCTCCATGTTTGTTCCTGAAATAATCTCTGGAGCAGTGGCTGTAGATCAGAGAGCTTCCAGCTACTCCATTCCCAGGAGCAGTCACTGTGGGGAATGGGATAAGAGTACTGTCCATAAGGAGCATATTTACTTGCACTGCATTCTCTAATCAGCTCTTTTAGGGAATGGGGTAGGAAGGTAAGGAGTAGGTGATTAATGACCAGATGCCAGTGTAGAAGATAGTTGGCAAAGCTCAACATGTAACATGGTACGTCCTTAGAGATAAATCAGTGAGGCAGTGAACTAGAGAGACTGAGGGCGTGATCCTGTGAAGGGCTGAATTTTCAACTCCACTCAGTTCAGTGTGCTCAGGACCTCCCAAGAGGCAGTCAGCACCTTGCAGGCTCAGACTCAGAATGAGGAAAGGAGGAGGGGACAAGACAGGCATGAGCATGGTTGTAAGTACCAGTCTTATCAGAACTTTTTTCTGATAAGCTAAAGCGATTCCCTTCCACTGGCTGTGGGGTACTATAGTTGCTCCAATCCCTTCCTTTCCCAGCAGGAGTCATTCTAAGATGTGAGGAGTAACAGCAGTGTGGGGGCTCTCAACTGCTCCAGTCCCAGATTCGTTAAGGAGTCCAAGTCTAGGAAAGGGACATAGGCATGCTCCTTAGGGAGCAACTCACAGTTACTCCAGTCCCAGGAAGTCTTTGCAGAGAATGGGTAAGAGCAATTGCCTTGAAAGAGCTTCCAGTCTAAGGAGTTACACTGGTGTAAGCCTACTGCAATCCCAACTAAGTTTCTCTAGATATACACTGACGTAACAGGGAGCAGGATGTGGATGCTCTTGCAGTGGGAGATCTTGCAGTGGGAGATACCTTTAACGCTATTAACTCTTCAAAATGCAAACCAGCAGCTGTGAATATCAGACAAGAGGACTTTTTCCTCTCTTACAATTCTGCCATCTCCTGACCCTAAATCCACCATCTTCCCAGAGCGTCCTTTCAGCAGCGACATCACATTCTCAACTTGCTTGGCACTTGATGGTACATATGGCACCTGGGTTAGAGAAATGAGAAATAAGCCCCAGTCAAACACAAGTTACCTTTCTGGTGTTCCAGTTGTGTCAGAGTATTGCAGGATTCAGTAAAGCATCCTGCAAAGCATGGTATTTTGGGACATGTAGTTCCACACATGTGCAGGCTGCACATTCATTACAAACAAGGCCTAATCCTGCAAATGGATTTGTACAGGCAAACACTTGTTATAGCCCAGAGCTCAACTAACTTCATTAGATTTCCACATGGGCACAAGGGTTTGCCTATATGGATCTGACTGCAAGATCAGGGCAATAAAGTGAAGTCAAGGGTAGTCGCTTTGGTCACCTACACATTAGGTCTATCTGAATAGGAGGAAACCACCTGAAGAAAGCAAACTGGGGACTGAGACCTAGAGGAGCTAGCCTCAGCCACTATGCTAAACACAACTGGAAATTAGGAGCCAGATCCATAGCTGGTAGATTGATTTAAATGAAGCTTACCCAAGCAGAAGGTTGGATCCTAAGTAGTTCTCACCAAAACACAGCTGGAGTACTAAAAATGAAGCCTATCATAGAGATCTTCTCACTTTACAGCTTTACAGATATTAATCATGTCAGCTATATTTCAGGTGCAGCATTTGTAAAGTGGTTTGGGAGCCTTCAGAATTAAACATCTTAAAACAAGAGACATTTGGCAAGGCTGCTAAGAACAAAAACTAACAAAATAATTCTCATGTGGTTTTATTTCCCATAGCAAATGCCTCAAATATCCTTCTGCCAGCAGGCCAGTTCATGAGTGACCCTATAACCAGTGGGTACGTGACAGAACAGAAACACTATAGTAAAGAAATGTTTCATGCACCTTCCAGGATGCCTTTATAAACCACACAGGGGGAACAAAATCATGTTATATAAAAAGCTTGGTAATATTCATCCCCCACACTGCTAAATATATACTTAATGCCTCTTCTCTTAAACCAGAACAAATCCCCATGAAAAAGCCCTGGCGAATGATCTACCTGTAACTTTAAAGGCACTCTGCGGAAGCCAGGCATGAGAATTCCTGCCCACATAACATAGGCAGCAAAACCTGTACCAGCTGCAAGCTGCACAAGGCCCCAGCCACCAACAGTCTTCCCTTGCAGCTCCACTGCCAGCTCTTCCAGGTCATCAGGATCCATAGCTGTGAAAACACCAGGATCGGAAGGAGATTTCTTCATTAACCAGCTAATCATACTTGGCACGTATTCAGCATGCTGTATTTGTATTTACTGCACTGCACACACAGGGCGGTACAACCCCCACTATTATACCCTCCCTCAAGAGCCTGTACTCATGTACGCCCTTCCCCCGGCCCGTTCCCCACACCTGGCGGGCCGAGGCAGGCTCGAGGCCGTGGCTTCTTTAAATCAGTCGTCCTTACACAAAGGTCATCACGAACTACCCGCATGCGCCCCACAATGCACCGCGTATACTCTCGTACCTAGACGCGCTGTCTTGGCGCGCACGCCGCTCTGGTGATGAGGAGGGGGCGGTGCCCCGCTCGTGGACTCTGGTCACTGTGGAAAGGTGGTCCGTGAGGGAAACACGTCCTTAGCAACGTTAGTTCCGCTGCTGGGTACTTAGGCAGCTGTTAACCCCCTTCCAAAACACTACACCCTGCTCCCCCGCTTGAGACCCACCTAAGGGGATGCCACAGACTTGGAGGTTAAGAACATAACCATCGGCAGTACCGGGCTTGGATGGAGGTACTGGGGAAGGTTATGACGGGGGCGGGTACCGGGGCTGGACGGAGGGGGTACTGGGGAAGGTTGTGACGCGGGGTTCCGGGGCTAAACGGGGCGGGTACCAGGGTTGGATGATGGGATACTGGGAAAGATTATGACGGGGGGATACCTGGGTTGGATGGGGGGTACTGGCGAATGTTATGTCGGTGGTACTGTGGTTGGATGGGGGCACTGGGGAAGGTTATGACTGGGTTTACCGCGGTTGGATTGGGGGTGCCGGGGAACATTATGATTGGGAGGAAGGTTATGAGGGGGCTACCGGGGTTGGATGTGAAGAGTATTGGGGAAGTTTATGAAGGGGGTCACCGGGGTTGGATGAGGGGAGCTGGAGAGGGTTATGAGGGATGTACCCAGGTTGGGTGGGGTGGAACTGGGGAAGGTTATGATGGAGGGTGCTGGGGCATGATGGGGGGGGGCACTGGGGAAAGTTATCACGGGGGGTGCTGTGGTTGGATAGGGAGAGTACCGGAGAAGGTTATGACAGGGGGTACTGGGGTTGGATGCAGAGAGTACTGGGGAAGGTTATGACAGTGGTACCAGGGTTGGATGTGGGGCACTGAAGAAGGTTATGATGGGGAGTACCGGGGTTGGATGGGGGTACTGGGAAACATTATGATGGGGGGTACTGGGGTTGGATGGGGAGAGTACTGGGGAACGTTATGATGGGCGCTACCGAGGTTGGGTGGGGGTGGGTAGCGGAGAAGTTAATGACAGGGCGTACTGTGGTTGGATGGGGGGGCTACCAGGGTTAGATGTGGAGAGTATTGGGGAAGTTTATGAGGGGAGTACCGTGGTTGGAGCTGGGGAACTGGGGTAGGTTATGAGGGGTTGGATGTGGGGGTATTGGGGAAGGTTATGACAGGGGGTACTGGGCTTGGGTGGTGGGTACCGGGGAAGATTATGACGGGGGTACCAAGGTTGGATGGGGCGTACTGGGGAAGGTTATGAGGCGTGTCCCGTGGTCAGATGATGGGTACTGGGGTAGGTTATGAGGGGGGTACCGGGCTTGGATGGGGGCTACTAAGGTTATTACTGGGGGTACTGGGGCTGGATGCAGAGGGGGGTACCGGAGAAGGTTATAATGGGGAGGAAACAGGGTTCAATGGGAAGAATACTGGGAAGATTATGACAGGGAGGTACCGGGGTAGGACAGTGTGTACTGGGGAAGATTATGACAGGGGGTACCGGGTTTGGATGTGGAGAGTACTGTGGAAGGTTATGATGGGGGGGGGGGGTCTCCTGGTTGGATGGCGGGTATTGGGGTAGGTCATGAGCGGTGTACCGGACTTGGATGGGGGGCTACGGGGAAGGTTGTGATGGGGGGTACTGGGGGTGGATGGACATATACTGGCGAAGGTTTTGACGGTTGGTACCTGGGTTGGATAGGGTTGTACTGGGGAAGGTTATGACAGGCGGTACTGGGGTTGGATGGGGGGTGTACTTGGGGTTATGACTGGGTGTACTGGGGTTGGATGGGGGGTACTGGGGAAGCTTACCGGGGTTGGATTGGGGATGCTGGGGAAAGTTATGACGGGAGGTTCCAGGGTTGGATGGTGGGGTACTGGGGAAGGTTATGAGGGGGGTATTGGTAATGCTCCCCAAATAATTCCTGGAGACTGGCACACAACAGACCCCAAGAATTGGTCCCCAGAGCACCTTCTTTGTGCTGCAGGTGGAAAACTGCATCACTGTATGAACCATATTGCAAGGCCCTGCCTGGGGCATAAAGAGAGTGTGCTCAGTCACATTTGCTAAATATGAGGCAAAGCCTTCTCAGGCCTTATCTTTACTAGAAAAAAAGGTGTTTTTTTTTAACCCATGTTAGCTGACCCAAGTAGACAAGACAGTTGTACTTTTAACATGTGTTAGCTGGTTGAGATAACCCTCGAGTTCTTTCAGCCTGCTTTAGTTTGTGCTGATGCACATTTCTCCATTCTCAACCAGTTGCTGTCTGCACTGTCAACATTTTGAACAGGTTCCTGAACTTCTTGCAGGGCTAGAGGAGGTGTCTGCTGATGGTGGTGGTGGTTGTAGGACAGGAAATTATGAGGAAGAACCCCACAGTAGGCAGATGTGGTATAAGCAGCCCCCATGCAGGCCTAACCTTACTCTCTAATACTTTGTGTAAGCAGAGTCTGAATGAACTCTCCCCTGACAGCTTGTTCGGGAGCGGGAGAGACTTCAGGAGCAAACTGTATTTACATGAACACATATAGTCTGCATAGGTATCTAGCAGACAGGAGTTGTGTAGCTCCAAGTGATCAGCTTTGGCTGGTGTTGGGTGGCAAATCACTTGAATGCAGGGGTAGTGAAAAGTTATCAATGTTATCTTCATTGTATGACTAACGGGGAGCAGAACTGTGCTGAGCTTCTCCCAATTGAGGGGTCACCCTCAGCCGAAAGGAACTCGCTAAGCCAGGGGTTCGAATCCAGACCTCTGTGAAAGTAAGAGGGGTGAGGATAGGTGTCCCAGCTAGGAGTTGGGGACTCTCCCTAAGGGTCCTCAGTCTGGTTTATCCTTTTCCTCCCCACTGTTAAAAAAGATAGAGCTAAATAGGCTTCATTAAGAGCCTTTTTGTTATGTTAAAGTGCCCAAATGAGAGCTGAATTCACTTGTGGTGGGGCAGTGTTTCTGCCTAACCTGCAAAGAGCTGAAAATCACTAAGAGACTGATGTGCAGAGGTCACAGCAGAGAGGCAGGTGGCAGCAGAAGGTGACTGACAGTCGGCTGGTGAATGAGTGGCTGGCGAGGCGGTGAGCAGAACGAGCGGCTGGCGAGGCGGCCAGTGGATGGTGGGGCAGCCGGCAGAGAAGACCAGTAGCTGGTGGGGTGGCCAGCCAGTGCAAGTGCTCAGAGGGCGGAGCAAGCAAGGTACCTTCTTCCCTGGGTGAGAGCTCAGCTCACACAGATGCACCTGTGAACCCTGGTCCTCACTGACCAAGGACAGCCACTGAGAGTGGGGTATGGTGAGGGAGCTCAGAAAAGGAACTTTTGGTTGTAGAACTCAAGAACATGAGGCAGAAGGCACTGCCCCATGCACTCTAGGGTGGGTGTCCTGCTCACAGTTTTATGTTTATGAATCCTGCTTGTGGTATTTCCCCTAATTAATGTCAGGTGACTTCCCTCCTTTCATTAAAAGTTTCTTTTCTACACTCAGACTCTGTGCTTGCGAGTGGGGAAGTATTGCCTCTCAGAGGCACCCAGGGGTGGTGTGTGATTTTCCCAGGTTAATGGGTGGGGGCTCAAGCTGGTTCTGTGTTGTATTGTTGAAAAGGAACCCCTAGATATTGAACCCGGCCCTGGTTACTGTTGGCTCTACCTGGCGGAAAGGGTTACATTTGGCTTAAATGCTGAAGCATGGGGTTTTTATCCCTTCCAAAACTCTTCGCTGTCATTACTCTGGCTATTTTGATCTGTAGAAATGTCGAATCCTCTTGACCTCATTGACATTCTGTGGCAATGAGTTGCATATTCTTATGTGTTGAGTGAAAAAGTATTTCCCTTTATCAGTTTTGAATTTATTACCTTTCAATTTAATTGAACGTCTCTTTGTTCTTGTATTGTGAAACGTGGAGAATGGATGTTCTCGATCTACTTCCTCTGTGTCATTCATTATTTTATATATGTTCACCATTTCCTCTCTTGTTCATGCCCTTTCTATGGTAAGCAATCCCAGTCTTTTCAAACACTCTTCAAATCAGCTTTTTCCAGGCCCCTTATAATTCTCAGTTGCCTTCTCTGAACCGCACTCTAGTTCTACAATATCCATTTTGAGATGGACTGACCCATCAAAGCCTTGGCTGGGATAATTTAGTTGGGGTTAGTCCTGCCTTGAGCAGGGGGTTGGACTAGATGACTTCCTGAGGTCTCATCCAACCCTAATCTTCTATGATTCTGTGACCAGTACTGGTCATAAAATATCTGCTGAAAACACATTAGTTGTGTTTTTTCTAGGGCTGTCAATTAATTGCAGTTAACTCACATGATTAACTCACAAAAATTAATCGTGATTCAACACACTGTTAAACAATAGAATACCAATTGAAATGTATTAAGTATTTTGGGATGTTTTTCACATTTCCAAATATATTGATTTCAGTTACAACACAGAATAAAAAGTGTACAGTGCTCACTTTATATTATTTTTGATTACAAATATTTGCACTGTAAAAATTATAAAAGAAATTGTATTTTCAATTCACCTCATACAACTGCTATAGTGCAATCTCTTTATCATGAAAGTGCAACTTCCAAATGTGAGGTTTTTTGTTACATAACTGCATTCAAAAACAAAACAATGTTAAACTTTATAGCTTACAAGTCCAATCAGTCCTACTTCTTGTTCAGCCAATCGCTAAGACAAACAAATTTGTTTACATTTGCAGAAGGTAGTGCTGCCTGCTTCTTGACTACAATGTCACCTGAAAGTGCGAACAGGCGTTTGCATGGCACTGTTGTAGTCTATTGTTAGTATATAGGTCTGTTTGTTAGCCTGGGATAGAATTTTGGATTTGACTTTTTGATACTCTTCTACTAAAATGTGTAAGCAAGGGACAAAGACACTGTGATGTTGCTTCTGCCTAGTCAGCTGGATTTGTTAGTAGAATGGGAACAGATAAGAGCAGTTAAATGTTACTCAAGAGCACACTTTAAGATTGCCTCAAACCCTATCTCAAGGAAGGCAAGGTCAAG